CGGAGCCTCTTCGGCGGCTCTACGCGCCCTGCGTCCGCGCCCGCCGCCGTACTCCAGGTCCGCGCGGAGACCCGCCGGCATCCGCCGGCACTCGGAGTCCGCGCCCTCCGAGCCGTGACAGCGGTTCTGCCACCTCCCTTGAGCGTTGCGTAGCCAGCCTCGGCCCGAGTCCTTGGGACGTTTCCGTGACAATTTTTGCTGACATTCCCATGCTGAAAGACGGCTCCCCTGTGCTCGCCACCCTCTGCAAGCCTGTCCCTTTTTATTCAGACAGGGTCTGTAAAGACCCTGCACCCCTTACCACTCCTGACAGCCCATCTCGTGTAGGAGCATGTGCTCCCCACAAATGCAGCCTGATTTATCACTTAATTGTGGCATTCCTTCACTCCCGTCCTCCGTATCATCACTTCTGTCATGTCACGTTTCCAGCACTCAGAAAGACCACGAAAATGTAGCCACTTACAGCTCATCCTACAGCGCTTAATGTCCAAAACCTCCTTTTTTCTTTTTTTTCCTGCTCCCCACAATCCTTGATAATTTAAGAGATTCTTCTCTAAACTCAGACATGCTTCATAACTGTGCTGTTAGATCTCCCATGTGCCAATTTAAGCAACTGAGAAAAGATGTCCTTTATTCCTCTTCTAATCCTTGCCCATCTCTCTATCTTCAATTCCCCTGTAGCCTGTTACACATCCTGCACCCTTTTAAGTTTCTGCAAAGCTCCCATATACCACTTCCTCTGCAAATACTCCCTAACTTCACCAGTGTAATGAACTTGCTAAATTGGCTACTAGATATATAAACTGAGACAGGGAGGAGTGCTGTCTTACATCCTTTGACAAATTTACCAGTAGTGTCCAGCCTGGGATGACCTTGATACCCTGTGGAAAGAAGTACCAGGGTTCCTAACTAGCTTCTGTGCCCAGAATGCTAATGAGAGACTGCCTTATTCACACCTAAGTAACCTTCAAAGACCTCAGACTGTCTCAACACAAATGTAACAGTCACTAAAAATGTTTGCTGAAGTCCTCTCATAGCCCCTGATAACCTTCATAGACCTCTTTTAACCCTCTAGCTTTCTCTATAGTGTGTCCACATTCTGGACATGTTGTGATTAAGGACAAACATATAAATCAGATGTGGTTTTTAGCTAAAATAGCCTTTGTAGGACTATTTTGTATGGTAGCAGCAAGATGAATGCTCATTCAAGTAATTTATAATTATTTGGTGGTTACTTAGGACAATATTCTAAATACTGTACTTTTAAAATTAATGTATTTATTTGATTTTAGTTTAGTCACAAAACAGTATAATTTGCCAGGTATTCCACTGTATTTTATTAGTAATGCATCTGTCATAAAAAATGAAGTCACTTGTATTCAACAGCTAAACAGTAAATTGTGCATAGGAACTAAAACTGTATGCAGGTACATTTGTACAATTTTTCATGGGCTGCGTGCACTGAATTGTCAAGTGCCCTGTTAATACTGTAAAAATGTGCCTCCAATAAGATAAACTTGTAACACAGTTTAATTTTTTTAGGTATCTAAAGGAATTTAGGACAGAGCAGTGTCCCCTATTTTTGCAGCACAAGTGTACCCAGCACAGACCATTTACCTGTTTTCATTGGCATTTCCTAAATCAGCGTCGTCGTAGACCTATACGAAGGCGTGATGGGACTTTTAACTACAGTCCAGATGTTTATTGTACAAAATATGATGAGACTACAGGAATCTGCCCAGATGGAGATGAGTAAGTGATTTTTTTCAGTCCTAGGTGTTTATAGTATTATCAGTGACATTAAGAAAAAATGCTGATTTCTCCTTAGCGAAAATGATCGATAGTATCCTGCTGCAGTTTATTTGAAAACAGATTTCTATCAGTGATTTGTCAATTTTTGGCACACAAACTTTTATATAAGGATGTATTCTGTAGGCTATCATAGAGTTAGAACTATGATTTTGCATCGTGATGATCTTTAAAACATAACATCGTAAACTGGTTTTCTACTGCTATTGTTCCTGCAGATTTGTGCTAATATTGTTGCTGCACATTTTTTTCCCCCCAGTTGTGCTTCTTTTTTCCCTTGACTACTTTGAAATGGACTAGTAAGTGCAAAGTGCACTGTATAGAGGTGGCTTCAAGATTTTAAACTTATGTAAGTTTTGTGAAGGTTGATGGGTAGTAGAGGAGAATGACCATTTCGTGATCCTTCCAATGAGAAAAAGCAAAGGAAGGAGTTTGCTGTTAGCTGTCTGGCTAGCCCCTAAGCATTTGCATTTCCATGGACGTTTGTCTCTTCTAGATGAAGGCTACAGAGGGTCTTTAGTGAACTTGGGGAGGAGTAGAAGCTTTGTGGAGATGAGAATGAGCAAATGGTACAGTATGGCAGGCAGGCATGTATAGAGGAGCTGGGTGTGTTGTCATATGTCAGAGGACCTACCTTCATCTGCAGTGATGGAAGCAAGGAAGGACTTCTGACAAAAAAAAAAAAAAGCAGGAAAACAGCCAGGAAATAAGTAGTTATGCTGGTCACCTGATTTAAAAATTGAAGATATTTTGGTTACTGTAGTGTATAGCAGCACTTGTCACAGATCAGGTGTCTTTTGTGTTATAGGTTGTAGTCACAGAAGAAAAGGGTGGATTTTTCCCAGAGCCTTCACAAACTAAAGGAAGAGATAAGAGAAAGTAAACAACAAAAATACACTAGGTAGCGTGTTGATATTGAGTACCATGCCTAAGCAATGTAAACAGCAAGAGTTGTCTTTTGTGGGTGATTTAAGAGAGAACAATTAATTGCCTTCTTAGGTGTCTCTAAAGCAATCCTGCCAATCCTGGGGCAGGACAGGCAGTTGATTTTTGAAAATCAAGGAAGGAGGATAATGGATACTCATGTCATGGATTACCTGGAGACAAAAATTGACCCTTTCATTACTGAATGATAGGTACTGATTCTAAAGGAGGAAAAAGGAAGCAATGTTTTAAAAAGGTATTAGCTGGGCAAGACTGAATTGTTAGAAGTGAATAAGAGGATACGTTTCCATAACATATGAGATGGAAACCTTTTTCTGCAGTTGGATTGGAAAGTTTGTCCCCTACAGTTGTTGAAGATTACTGCCTGGTTAGTAACCTGTATGACAAACAGGGTCGTTATATTGTATGGCATAATGGAAGTGCAGAGGACTTGCCAGAAATAAAACCGGTAGTGAGATTCATGCCTCTCCTTTAGCATGTCGTGCTTACAGTTTGAATTAAATAGATAGGTTTAGGAGTTATCAGCAAAGAGGTGGTGGTTTTCAAATTTGTGTTTTGCGGTAAAATTGCCCAGATGTAGAAGAATAAGAGCTGGGACCAAGGTTGGACTCCTGTGAGACTCTTCACCAGAGGCACGAGAAAATGTTGAAGTTGGAAGATACGCTACAGGAGTATTGAAAGGAAAATGTGAACCTAACTGAATTCCCATAAACTGAGGAAAACAATGTTTCAAGAAGAGAAAAATTTGAGTAAAGCAGACCATAAATCTAGAAAGTGAAGATAGATGTGAGTTGAGAAAATGAAGTCTGTTTTCTTTGACTCAGTTATAAGGTGAGATTATTGGAGACATTTGTGAGAAGTTTCAGCTGAACTGTGGAGGCCTTTTTACTTTGATCCTGAGAACTGGTGGCTAGAAATGGCAATTGATAGCCAACTTAAGGTAGAAGAGAAAAGGCATACAGGGCAAATAGTTGGGAAAGGCAAAGGACGTTAAAGGTAGCTTGCTTAAAGATAGCATGTCAGTAGTGCAGGAGATAAAAATGGAGGAAAACAACATTTCTGAAAACATGCTTACAGTGTGGCAGCATTCTTGTTCCAGAACTCAGCAAAAGAGTATTTTTTTGACCCTGTGTTGTCTTCTGGCTAAAATTTAATCTTTTATTTTAAGCAGCTTCAAATTCTGATATAAATAGGTTATAAACAGTAGTGCCAGGACACCTTCGTTTTAAGCTGTCTGTGACAACATATTGGTACTTTTTTTGCCGTTATCTATGCCTCTCTTTCTCTATTCTGCTCATCTGAATACATGGTTAGGTTAATGCAGCTTGTGAGTGGACAGAGAACTCCCGAGGGAGGTGGAGTGATGACACCCATAATAGTTGTCAGGAACATACTTTTAAGAGAATTAAATTAGAAATTGTTGGTTTCAGCCAGGCTTGACTGTGATATTTCTTTCCAAAGTTCAACCTGGAATAAAAGGAAGTCCAAAATCTTAAAGCTGTTTACAAAAGGGCTTTTCTAAGGGTGGCAAATTAAAACAACCTGTTCTGAGGAAGGGCCTGTGAGAAAGACTAGGTGACTTGCACAGTTAGAGGCATATATTTTGAGTAGTGAATAGCATTCCTCTCAATTTCACAAATGAGGATAAAAGTGATACTTTATTTTTGTCTGATGTGTTTTTCAACCACTGTCCTCAACTGAAACCAGATTCTAGAAGAGAAGATTATTTTGGATATGTTAGTATCTGTAACGTAAAAGTGCTCTAAGGGTGAATTACAGAAACCATCTACAGAAGAGCACTTCAAGTGATCATAGGAAAAAATACGTCAGCGCTTCAAGGTTGAACAGAAGTAGAGCTATGTAGCTACACTTGTAGGAACATGTAGCATTATCCTTTAAACTGGAACTGTTCTATTCTTAAAGAATATCTTTGGAATGTTTTTGATCTGAATTAAGAGTATGAAAAGGAAAGGCATGTTTCACTTATCAGTTAACCTTTCGAGTTTTTGTGAACGTATGCTCTGTTTCATGATATATATACATCTACTTACTTTGAATAGTGTAATGACAGTTTTACATTGTGAGATACAGATACAGAAAACAAAGCCGATTTCAATAGTTAAATGTTGTGTGTAGACTCCAATAGAATTAAAAAAAAATGCAGAGTAATATTCTTTGATGTTTCATGATTACTAAGTTAGGATTCAGTACAGTTATTTTAAGCTTGGGAGATGTCTGTAGAAATATGTGCCATAAAATAGATTTGTTATTCTGCCTGGGAACTTTTTTTTTTTTTTTAAATAAAAACCTTGTTCCTAAGGAATAAGTGATGTCTGAAGAACTTTAGTATCAAACTATGGTACATAAGAACAAGTTTATCAGTTTGCAGCCATGTAATCCGATGATAATTAAAATCAGCCATTTTAAATCAAAATACTAGTCTTGTTTAAAGCTATGTATTACAGTAGTTTATGTTCCATTAAAATAGCTCATTAATAAAGTGAAGGTATGATGTAACATCCCTCTAGTTCATTAAAGGTTGAGTAAAACACCTGTTCTGTGCATATTTCAGTGCTTTGGCTTAGTTTGATACTATGTGTGGATAAGTACTATGTGCCATCTAAAATCTGCTCTTATTAGGGGATTTTACCTTTCTGAGTAATGATCCTACGATGAACTATAGCTGATCAAGATGTCTGGTTATTGTGGTATTGTACGAATAACACATTTTCATGTAAAACATACACAAGCAAAATTGATGCCACTGGTTTTGCATTTTGAGGTTTGGTTGCTGTTTAGTCCCCCTGAGTCACCTTTAGAACTAGCCCTTATCTAGTTCTTTAAAGTTTTAGACAAAATTAAGTTAATGAACTCTCCCAGTCACACTGGATAACCTTGCTAAAGCATTCTGCTAGTTTCTGGAGGACTTCACCTGTATGGGACTCTTTTGGCAGCTAGCAACATGTGCAGTAGGAAAGCTGTGTTTTCAATAAAATTCAGATTTCATTAGCTATTGATGGCACAAGTGTTGAGTCTTAGGGCAAACAAAACTAGGTTTAATTTAGCATAAATAAGGGTCTTGTGACATAGTTTGTATTTCTTTACCAGCTTGTTTTTGGAACTCGTGTTGTCTTTCAGTGGGAGAATTTGTGACCTGAGTATCTATACTCTCTCTCACACTGCATAGAACAAGTTGTGCCTAGCTTGTTTGGCAAGCCATGCCTATATTCCATTGATTATCTTTTTTTTAAACAGTTATTTAAAAATAATTGAAGGCTTAACATTTTGGGGGGAGACCTCCACTGATAAAGTGATTCCGCATGGGAAAAACTGCATACATTTAAGCAAAAGTGTTTGCCCTCAGATAAGAAACTTAAAAGACAAGCAATGAGATGTAAACACCTGTACACTTCTTGTATGGAAGATAAGACATTTAATTCTTGTTTCCAACAGGAATGCAAACTTAAGTAGATGAAAATGGAGGCGTGAACATTCAGCATAGAATGTGACGGGGTACTCTCACCTTTGTGAGGTGTGCATATATATGAGTCAAAGATAAAAGTTTGTGATGAACGCTCTGCTGGGAAAATGGAAACATTTGGCCCCTGCAAAGATTCTGCTAGTGGTGTGACAGCAATAACAAACATACAGCCTCAGATGGCATTTCCTCTTGTTCAGAGTTCTGTACAGGATTAGTGCTGGCAAAAGTATTTGATTGACTCTTGTGGGTTTTCTCATTTTTCTGTGTCAGTAGGCATTCAGTCGGAACAGGAGGGCTGCATCAACGCTGTTCACACATCACAAAGAATTTCTCACAAAGTTCATCTGAGGCACTGTAATGGGTCCAAAAGATTGCATCCTGTCTGTCTTTCCATGTAGAGCCAAGAAGTGTGAAAGAACTTTCAGATCCTGAGTGTGGACTGTGCTCCATCTTACACTGAGAAAATGAGATGTAGCACTGAATTTGGTATATGTAGTCTTCCCATTAATTTATTTTGTTGGGATTTAAAGAGATAGGTAGAGATCATTAGCTGCAGCCCATTTATCTTGTTTAACAGAATGCTGCTTTTAAATTCCTACAAGGAAGCAGATTGATTCTCAGAAATCATCAACAGTGCCAATTCCTGGATGTCAGCACAAGCTGCAGGTGTTTAGCACAGTGGGAAAAATGTATGATATTCATATAAATATATAAATACCAGACTTGTAAATGGTTGCAAACAATTGCATTTGTTTAGTCTAGTTTCTAAATAACCTTTTTAGAATATAGTAAATAAAGCTTAAACCTGCATAAATTCTTACAAGTGTTAAAGTCTACTTAGTGCTTCACTATTCTCCCTCCCTTCAAAGTAAAATATTTCTGTGGGACTTTTCATTTGTTGTTCTGTATCACTCTTAAGCTTTTTGGTGCAGTTTCTTTTTACTTTGGGATGGGGGAAAGTAGTTTTTGGAGATGAGTATTTTTTCACAACTAGCAGAGACCAAAATTAATTACACTGAAATAAACTGGGAGAGAACAGATATGCCTATGTATATATTTTTGTGGGTGTTTTAAAATTTGTTTACTATTGGTATTTGGAATTAGAATCTATACATGATGCTAGCCATTTTAAGGTACAGACCGTAACTCACATAGTTGTGCCTGAAAAATGATTAGTATATGTACAAAGATGTACTGCTGATATAAAAATTGTTCTTCTCCATTTAATAGAAGGGTCATTTTAGATTGCCCCGAGATTGTTCAGTAAATTCCATGTCTATAAAGAGCAGTTATGAAAAAAAAATCACCATGCTTCAGGTACCCCTTGATTTTAGATGATAGCATTCAGAAAAAAAAAATAATTCCTGCACCTCTTAGTGTAGAAAATTATTTGATCTTTTGCCAGTATGGAAGATGTCATTCTTTAGCTCAGATAATGTTGCTTACAGGGGTGCTTACTAGATTTATTTGTAATATCTTTGTGAGTCAGCCTGTAATAAATTCTTAGAACTTTAGTGGAGACTAAGAAATAGATAAATGTTTTTAATTTTGAAGCTGATCTGTGGTGGTTGGTTGGGACAATTTTTGTTTCAAGAATCCTGATGAGTTACTTGTAACTTACAAGTTAGTAAGAGATATAGCATTATTCAGAATTAAATTATGAAAAACAAAACTCAAAGCAATGCTCTAAGTTTGGTCTTTCTATTATGTAGTTGCCCTTACCTGCATCGAACAACAGGGGATACAGAAAGGAAGTATCATCTCAGATATTACAAGACTGGAACATGCATTCATGAAACAGATGCCCGGGGTCACTGTGTGAAGAATGGAATTCACTGTGCCTTTGCTCATGGTCCACACGACCTTAGACCACCAGTATATGATATAAGGTAGTCTTGTTTCATATTCTTCAGCCTAATTAGCAGGAAATATCACATGTCTGTTACCACAACATACCAGAAAGTGCAGTATGCTTTGCATGAAAAATATACTTGCTGCTGTAACTGTAAACATGAGTACAATTCACTGTTCATCAGTGATAGCAGATAGAAGCACACTGGGAAATATAAATACTAAGGGTTTGCAACTTGCATTTTCAAGAACCATATACGTAATTCTTATGACTGATAAAAGACCAGACACTCTGCCTTTTGTCTTCTGTGCCTTGTAAATTTGCATGTGATTTTTACCTTCACAAGTTCATGATTTTGTTAAGCCATCTTTCAGGTTCTCAGCTTGTATGTTTGACAGTTTGCTTACTGATGTCCTGGGTTTTTTAATCATGTTGTATTTTTTCATGTATAAGATACTGGTATTATTTTCTGCTTCTCTAATGTATAATCAAGTTATCATCAAAAGAAGGTACTTTGTGAATCAGGGCAGTGGTAGGTATGAGTTTTAGCTGTGGCCAAAGCTGCGAGATAAGCGTGTTGTTGGGAGGTGTTATAAATGGGTGGAAGGGAAGCTCTTGCTACAGAAGGTGGTCTGTGTATACCAGTAGGAAAGGATACCAGTTCCTAGGGAGCTTTGAAGCCTTGGAGGGTCACAGTTACCTCTTACTGGATACTGGAAGACCATTCTGGGGAAGTATCGCTATACGCTTGCCCTATTCTTATACTCTTCCCTAGGCATCTGCTATCGGCTACTGTTGGAGACAGGATTCCAGGCTAGATGAACCTTTGATCTGAGCTGGTATGGCTGCTACCTTACATTCTTACCTTTGTCATCCCTTATTCCCAACCATCTGTTGGAAGATGATAACTCTTCCTTCACAATAATTTCAGTAAAGTTAGTGCCTTTTCAGTAATTTTGTAATTATTTAAATTCATATTTTGCCACAGAATTCGCTGCTGCATTACCTGGTCACATACTGTTTAGTTATATATGGCTTTTCTTTCCAGAAGACTTTCTTCAGTTAGCTAGCTGATGATGTTTCTACAAGACATCTGTTCATTTTCTTTTTCTTCTTTTAAACTTTCCTCTTTTAGCATATGCAGCATGATGCCTGTGATGGTTTGACTCTGGCTAAATGCCAGGTATCCACCAAGTCGCTCTATCACTTCCTCCCCCCGCTTTTCCCCTTGTTTTCTCAATAAGGTAAAGAGGGGAAAGAAGATAAACTAACCCTCGTGGGTGAAACAAAAGCAATTTTAATATAAGCAAGGCAAAGCAAAAGTCCGCGCGCGGAAGCAAAAGCAAACAGATTTAGTCTCTACTTCCCATGGACAGGCGATGTCGGGCCTTCTCAGGAAGCAGGGCTCCAATACGCGTAGTGGTTGCCTCGGAGGACCAAGGGTGACCCCACCCCCTTCCTCCTTTCTCCCAGCTTTATACTGAGCAAACGTCATATGGTATGGAATATCCCTTTGGTCGGTTTGGGTCAGCTGTCCTGGCTGTGTCCCCTCCCAAGATCTTGCCCACCCCGTCCCACTGGGGGAAATATCAGAAAGAACCTTGGTGCTGTGTAAGCACTGCTCAGCAGTAGCCACAACACCAGGGTGCTATCAACACCCTGCCAGCTCCCAGCATAAAACACAGCACCGTGAGGGCTGCTGTAGGGGAAAACCAATTCCAGTTCAGCCAGACCCAGTACAATGCCACATCAGTCTGAATACAGAACGCTTAGTATCTTTGTAATCTTTTGCATCATATTAAAATGAGGAACAAATGTATAGCAAGACTGAAACCAAGGTCTGTTCTCTAAATGTCTTCTGATGTGTTACATGATTGTTTACTGGAGATTGACTATATACAGAGCATCAGGAGGAGCTGAGGTGTTTGTGGTAGGAGTCTGTGTTTAGCGGCTTGAACCTACAAGTAGGCTGCCTCAAACTTCATTGATGTTTGTGAAGAACACTTGTGTGCCATTGCCTCTCCTGATTTCAAGTATCCATCATTCATAAGGAAGTCCAAACAATTGGGTTTTGTTTTTTCTTTGGTGGTCTTTTTGCTCTACAATGGACACAGATATTAGGGTTTCTTTGTTATAAGTAAAGAGCGGAGAAATAGCAGTAGAATCAGTGATGCAGATGTTAACTTTTTTCCCTTAGTAGCCTTGTTCTTCTACATATCCACCTTAAAGAAAAAGCACTCTCTACTAACTACCTGTTTTCCTTCTCATTGCCTGCACCCTGACTGTTTGAAAGGTTGTAGACTTGGCTTTGGGTCTGTCTTGCCTTCCTTTCCCTTTTAAATTTTCTTTCTTGGAGGATACTTGGGGTATGGGAAGTTCTTGAAAAGATATGTAAGTGATATAACTAGTTATGTTATAAACAACCACAGCTTTCAAATTCCTCTTCAGAGATCCTGAGTAGAAGTGGTTTGGTACAGGAGGTAAGCTCCTTGAATATTTGTGTCTAGGGAAAGTGCCAGTTGAAAGTGGAGGCCTTTGATTCTCATAGAGTACTATAGATCTGCCTCTGGTATCTGATTCCTCACCTTTTTTTTCCATTGCTTCAAAAGCTGCTTAATATAGTTATGCTATAGTATCTTTTTTTATTTTTTATTTTTAATCTTGAACTGATTTGCTATTGTTGAATCTCTGTACAGCTTAATTTTACTAAAATGTTGTAATAAGATTGTCTCAGATTTTTGGTAGAGGTTTCATACTACTAATATAGTACCTTTCAGTTTGGTAGTAGTCATTCTGATCTTTCAGTAAGCTTGTGGTTGCCTACATGCAAAGCAGTTGTAAATTCTTGCAGAAGAAATTCTGTTTCCTTATGATGATTCTTGTTTGTTACTAGGTCTCCGTAATGTCTTGATAAACTTTTCTTGCAAAATCTTACAGTGAGCCAAAAGTACTTGGGCTACTTTTATATGATGTAGTATTCAATAGCTATGTTTTGTACCTTCCTTCAGTTATAACTTTTCCTCTTAGGGTATTTAATTCTCCCTCATAGAGGGGTTCTGTATTTCTGATTACTCTTATTCCCCTTTCTATATGTTTACGTTTTTCAGTTCTACCATGTCCTATGTGGCAGTGGAATATCAGAAAATAATACCATATTCAAAATGTCAGCACGCCAGCATACAGAGGTACAGATGGGCATTGCTGGTACAAACATTGTGTACATAATGTCAGCATTCCTTCCTGTGTTCTCTTTGATTTGTTTGACATCGTTATTCCTAACGATTGTTTGCCAGCTTCAGCTCAGGTAATGGTTTGAAATACAGTCAATTTATTTTATTTTAAAATTTAGGCTTGTTAAGAGCTAGATTAAATTACAGAATTTTGGTAGACTTGGACAGGATTATGCCCGAAACAGATAGGGTTACTGTAGTTAAACAGTTTAGCAGTGTTGTTTTCTTTTCCCCATTACAGAGAACTTCAGGCACAGGAAACCTTACAGAATGGGCAGATAGGATGTGGTGAAGGCATTCCAGATCTGCAACCAGGAATTTTAGCAAGCCAGGCAATGATTGAGAAGATCCTTAGTGAAGATCCAAGATGGCAGGGTAAAGTTACCCTGTCTCCTTTCTCTGTTTCTTTGTTGGTGTTTGGTCCAATTTGTTGATCCTGGGTCTTCATCTGGGAGACATACAAAAGCCTTTTTAACAGAGTAAAGAATTGGTTTATATAAGTAATATGGCTATTTGAACAAGCTGTACTGTCTGTCACATTTATATTCAGATTGGATTTTGAAAATGTTTTGTTTTGAAAACATTTAATAGGTCTTTTTCAGTTTACTTGATGTAAGTGTTGCTAATCTGTGTCAGTTGAATGTATGTTCTTAAAAGTCAGTAGGAGCTCAGTTGTGCTAAGTAGTAGTAATGATTAGAGTCTTCCTTTTTTGAGTCATTAATAGACTAGTTAATGGACCATTATTCTTTGCTGAGCTTGACTAACAGGAATGAAGTAGAATATTAAACAGAAAATTGTAGCAGAATATTTAAATCCAAGAATGTCTTGAAAGTGTTATATTAGATCTCTTAAAGTAAATCCAATTGCCCTAGTTTTCTTAAGGCTTTCAAAGTTGGTTCTCATGTTCTTGGTTTAGACTTACTTATTATGTAGCCAAAGATGTTAATATCAGTTGCATATTGTTAGAGCTCCTGCCCAGGTTTTACTTTAGAAAAGACTGCCAGGTACAATTACTTCCACAAAATTAATGTTTAGTGTGGACTAAAACATAGGGAGAGGTCACATGAAGATACTGTCTCTAAGGAATTCAAGGGAAGAGAATTATATGATACATCTCCTCTATATTTTTAAAATCGACTATAGGGTGAGTTCCAACCGTTTGAGTACTGATAATGTGTAGATCTTAGCTCTCAGCTCTAGATCAAAAAATACTGGATGTTTGATGTAAAAAAGACAGCAAAATTGACCAACTACAATCACTCCTATTGCATTCCTTGCATTGTGACAGGTCTGTGTTACATAATGTTGTATGGCTTCTGTCAATCCCTGTAAATATGGTGAGACTGCACATAGTTTCTGGAGATTGAAAATCATCCAACTAGTGATTTCAGCCTTATTTTCCTAAGCCTTTAATGAAACTATTGGAAAGGACTGAACAAAGAATAGACTCCATGTGATACTCTTCTTAGTAATCCTTGCTATTTGAAAGGACATAATTAATGACTCTTTGAGAATGTTTGCACAAATCCCACAGGAGTCTTGTAATATTGTGCAGTTTGTTTCTGAGAACATCTCAGACTAAAAGGATTGCTGTGTCAATATAAATGATATTGACTGCTTCTGTTTTACCTACATCCATTTTCCCACCTTAGGAAGAAGTTAGGTTGGTTTGACATGATTAACTCCTCACAAACCCATGCTTGCCATTAGCTAAATTGTACCTTCTTACTTATTTACTTGCTCCGTTGTTTTTATGAATTTTTCTGTTTCTAGACAGAACCTTGTTTGTCATCTCCTAGTTCCTCCTTCCTGGAACCAAAGATGTAGAGACAGAGGCAAAGGTAGAGAAGAGGTTCTAGAATTTGTCGAGGAAGATTTTACTGGACAGCCTTATAACATGCCTTAACATGGAAACAGTTTTGGTGAAATAAGGACTGTCAACACTAAAACTTAACAGAAATCCAGATATAAGATTGTATAAGTTTTTAGTGTTTGTCTTACTAAAATGAATAATGTATTTTCAGGTATACGTTTTCAAAATGTTAAATGTATATAATGAGAATTTCTGGATAGTTTCTTTACCACAGATTTCTAGTGTTTTATTTATGTACTTTATTGTAATATTGCTATTGAATATAAAAGCAATGAACATTGCTTTGCATGTAAAGGTGTTAGACTTATTATTTTAAATGCAGGAGTCAGTCTAAGTCTATAAGAATGGAGGGGTCTGTGAATCGTTTTTGTTGTTTTTTTTTTTTCCAAAAAACAGTGTGATACCTAAGCTCACTAAAGACACTCTGAATGCAAATATTAGTTATTTATTTATCTTAATTTTTGACCTGTTTACAGACACAAATTTTGTATTAGCTGGCTACAAGACAGAACAATGTACCAAGCCACCCAGACTCTGCCGGCAGGGTTATGCATGTCCTCACTATCACAATAGTCGAGATAGAAGACGAAATCCCAGAAAATTCAAATACAGGTACATAAATACATATAAAGAATAGGCTTTTTGATCAGTTAGACAGTTGTTAATGGACTGATGTGTTTGGGTTCTATAATGCAATTGGATATTTCTATTGGAATAAAACCACATCTTTCCCAATAGATGTGCTAAAATTTTTTTTTGGGAAAAAAGCATCTGTTCAGAATGATCAGACAGTTCTGAAGACAAAAACTGTGAAGCTGTAATGGAAATGTCCTTCTTTCTTGTGAAGAATGAAAATAATTTTTATTAATCTTAGGAAAAATTGGAATCACTAGGTCAATTATAATTTCTATCTTTTTTTCTGATTTTGTTCTACAATTTACCATTTCTGAGCAATATTTTTAAGACCAAAATTTGATGCATCTCCTCTCTTACTTTTCATCATTCATCATTTTACATCATTCTTGTAAACTATGGTTTCTTCATTGGTTTTGGTGTTTTTTTGCGCAGTGATACAAGGTTTAGAATTGATGGACTTGCTTGACAGTCTTAGGACTGTGAATAAATGTCATTAGACAGAAGATAGATAAAATCCTACTAGCACATCCTTATGTCAAAGATTTTCCAAAAAGTCAGTGTCTCTCAGGATTTGCAACTTAAAGATTCTGAGATTTAGTGGGAAATTGTTTGAGGCTTCTGCTAGGAAGTAGGTACAGACATGCTCTGGACATCGTTTTTTTCTAGGTCCACTCCTTGCCCCAGTGTAAAACATGCAGATGAATGGGGTGAACCTTCAAGGTGTGAAAGTGGGGATAGCTGTCAATATTGTCATTCTCGTACAGAACAGCAGTTTCACCCTGAGGTAAGAACTATGTTTCTATTTATTTTTAGTGATTTCAAATTTATTATAGATTTATGTAAAAATGTGTGACATTTCATTCAGCAGTTCCAGTTGTTGAGGTATTTGCTTAAACAAAACAAAATTTACTAAGAAATAGTTATTTGTACTGCCGTGGTTTTCACTGATAGGCATTTTTATAGTACTGCTTATAAAAAAATAATTCATATTCTCTGGATTTTGGCATAAATAAATGTGTTCTCTTTTTTACCAGACTTCTGGGATTGGTAATGAGGTCACAGTAGTAATTATTACTCAATAACTTGGGACAAATTTCTATTTTTATAATTAAAAAAGCTTTATTGCAAATAATTAAGAGAAACTGAATAGGTCAGGAGGAGATGGAAGGAGCAGAAAACTCTCCTAGTGGCTGGAGACACCAGAATAACAAGGTGATTTTGGATTCCTCTGTAGGCAAAGTCATTGTAACTTTGTTGGATGCTTGAGCGTAACAGTGAGATGCTACAGCGAAGAGCAGTGCCATGCAGTCTGCTGAGATTTAATTCTTATGTGTCACTATGACAATACTAAATATGCCATTAATGGACACAAACATGATACTGAAAAGACATATTATGCTAGAAAGTGCTTGTACAACATTGGATATCTGTTTTCATTTGGGACCTTTGAGTGGACATGAAGAATTCACAGCAGAATGTAATTTCTTGCATTAGAAAGTTCAATACTTAGTAAGGTATAAGCAAAGACCACTCAAGCAATTGCTAATTTCTCTTCCAATTATGAAGATTATTGAAGGCATCTCAGGACTATACTAGGAAAGGAATTCTTAGAACAGTGACTCCAGGATTGTTGCAAGCTTCATATCATACATTCTTTATCGTAAGTTCACCGACTACATCTACACCTAAATAGGTGTCAGCTGTTCTTACTTTTGAGATGCTGTTCCAGAATTTCACTGCCCTGATTACTAGAGATTTTGCAGTCCAGATTTGTTTCAAATCATCAAATTTCTTCTGCATCATATTCCAGCTCTTTTCTGTAGTAAAGGTGTCTTTCTGCTTAGTATTGCTACCATACTTTTATTTATGACAATACTATGAATGAAAGAATGAAAAAATAAGTCACAAGGTTGAGCCTTGGGTTCTGCTACTAGTTATGTCTGCTGCCTTCCTCTTTCATAACATCCACTGTCATCTCTCCCATTAATCAATTTAGCAGCAAATAGGAAACACTGCTAAGAGTCCTGTTCTTCCTTAAGTAATGAATCTTACCACATCCTTTACTGAAGTCTTTACTAGAATGGCCACATTTCTATTTTAGAGAAGGACCTTGTGATTTATCAAAGATTTGTCTGTGACAGACAGAATAATTAGCTGACACGCAGTGGCTTGAATCAGCTACTTTTGCTCTTCTCAAACATATGTGAGCTATACTTAATATACCTCAGTTATATGTGCTACTTCTGATGTGATGGCTTTATTGAAAGTACTTGCTAACTGCATGAGTCTTACTTGCCAGTTTTTTAAAAATTCTGATACAACAATTGCCTAATTCACTTCCTGTTCTGGAACTGATAGTGATTTGCTTCCACATCAGCTGTAGTCACTTCAGTCTTTGCTTGTTTTAATTAGCTGTGCTGCCTTTGTTGTAGTGTTGAACATAATTCCTACTGATAATCAAGGCAGTTTGGTGAGGATAGTGTTATCATCTTGCCTAATTTTAGGTCTAGTATTTAATTTCACAGAAACTAGCAACATACCAGCACTGAAAGAGGAGTTTTCATTCAACATCATACCCTGTGATACTTTCCCTCCTTCGCTCCAGCTCTGACTTTCATCCAGCTTTTGCAATTCTGACTTGAGGATTCAAAGCACTCATTCAGTTCATAATGAAATTCAGTCTATTTAATGGTGGCAGTCAGTTGCCTTCATTCCTCAGTTTGCTTATTTATGTCAACAACATTAGTTCAACCTTACTTTTTTATGTCCTTTAAGTTGAATTAATACTCGCTTTATCCAACATTATTGTCTCTTACTGGATGTTTTCATCTACTTGTTCTTTACCAAATTCAGATAAAGAATATTGTCATTGCCTCTTGGCTTAGTGACTATTATTTTGAAGAAATCTCTTGGTTATCACATTCAGGAATAGCTTGATTCTACTGTTAATACATAGCAGCCGTGTTCTTGTCTATAGCTGGGAAGTTAATCTTCTGTAATGATTTAGTTCTTTGAGTTTGCTGTCTGTCTTGTAGTATCAGTATGTGTAGATGATGTGGCCATCTCCAGAATCAGTCTTTGAGGTGCAAGCTCTGCCCCAATAGTATTTTGATATAGCTGCATTATCACTTCTTGTATCTGTAGCATGTACCAGAAGGCACTCTGCACCATCTGGGTAGCTCATAGGATCAGGAAGGCTATTTTTTGGCTAGGACCTCAAACTAAGACTGAACTTCCAATTACATCTTTTGTTGGAACCATTTGGAAATCAGCTCTTCTAATTTTTTTTTTTTTTAATTCTGTGACATTAGCGTCATGTATACAGCACTGGTGTTTTATATTTAACCAATAAACAGAGAACAGGAAAGAAAGGTAATGGGCCCAGCTTCATCTCCTAGTTTGAGTGTAGTATCCACAAAAGACTACTTTGCTTTTTGCCGTGTCTGTGATAACTCCTAATGAAACTGGTGGAAAGATCAGTCCTGCTGTTCTGCTTGCTAAGGGTGTCATTTGGGTGAATAGTTGTCTACAGCGTGGATGTTTTTTCACTTTTTCAGTTCAAGGAAAAATTAATTATTTGGAGAGTGATAAGCAGCAGTAATAATTTTGTGATTTAGCATTTTTCTACAGTTTCTTGTATGATCTTTGGGTTATGCATGAACTAGTAATGAATATAGCAACTAAGTGTTCAACCGCAATTCAGAATCACTTATGAGAGGGAAATTTATCTCAGATGCTTAAAATAGCTCTAAAATAAAGAGCTTACAGAACTAGTTGTTATTTTTTTTTTTCAATACATAGTTTCATTTTTCATGTTTGCTCTAAGGTAGGAGTCCAAGGTAAACATTTTTTTACACAGCATATGCAAATGCCAAATAAGTGGCATTCTGAAATAAGAATTATTACTTACTGAGCCATGAATCACTCAACTGATGCTGAAAGCCAAAGAACACAGTACCAAGGTCTGGGGAACCAAAAAGATATCTCTGCTATTTGCCACAGACTTGCAAATCACCATAATTAATTTTCTAAAGAATCTATACGCTTTTAAATAGATTCTTAATATTGTTCTAATATGATAGCATGTCAGCTCCTCCTCCCAGCCTTGTGAGATCCAAAGATGATCAAGATCCCAGTGGAGCACTAAACTGAATCTGGATCTTACTAGGAACTTGCATAGTCATTACTGTCATGAACAGTCGGCATGACTTAAGTTCTTATGCACCCCAGTCAGGTTAGAGAAAGATATTTGAATGTTAGTCTGATTTGAATATTAGAGGTGTCCTAATGAAGGAATTGTGTTGGAAAAAACATACTGTTTTGGTTTGGTTTTCATCTGTGTAAGCCACTCTGCTACATATATTTCTCTTGCAAGATTTCTTAAAAGTGGTGTAAATGACTGTGAAAATTTTATTCCCAATGTTTGACTTGTTTCTATACAAAGTGGAAAACCAAAGCGGTTTAAACACTGCTTTTCTAAAATATTATTCTTCCTTATTATTTATTATTATACAGAAGAGGGATAAGATTGTCTTGTCTCAGGTTTACTTTTCTTAAAATTCTGCTCTTCAATTTAATTTTTAAAAATTATGTTAAGAACTGGATTTTATGAGAAAACCATGTAATACATATTGTCAGTACATACTCAGAATTTTTCATTTAAAGATTTTAAACTTGTCTAACTATTTTGTTGTTACATAACAAATATATTTAGGTTAACCACCCTTCTGTTTTGTTTAGATATATAAATCTACAAAGTGCAATGACATGCGCCAAACAGGTTACTGCCCACGTGGTCCATTTTGTGCATTTGCACATGTTGAAAGTAAGTAAGAGAACTGTTACTTTTTATCAGTGTTCATAAAAGTGAACCATCATTTCTAAGCATCAGTAACAGAAGTGACTTAGCATAATGAATTTTAATGCATACATGACATTTGATGTCACTTGTTTTTAGAAATTTATTCCATGTTTTCTAATATCATAGTTTGCTATGGGAGCTTGCTGCATTTGCATCAAATTTGCATCAACAGTAAAACAGGAGTTGCTTTTCATTACAAATGCAGCTTGTCCCTGTAACTTTTTGGGCTTGATTTGGCAATTTCTACATATACCCTTGACTTCTATAAAATATGTTAGCTGTCCTATTGAAACCTATAGTAAACTTCTCAGGTAAAAGTTGAAAATCCTTGCAAGTATTTGCAGAACTAGGGACTTAGCTAAACTGAAAAAGAACACAGAGAAAATTATATCAGCTGTCCTCTTTCCTCCATAGCCCACTCATCTTCACTGCATTCAAACTGTTATATACAGAAAAAGGGAAGAGGGACCATTTTTTTCCAAGAGAGCACTAAATTCTTCGGTATGCATCTACACAGATTAATTCTGAGTATGCATCACCAGATTCTTTTTAATAGTAGTATCAATTTAGGTCACCCCTACACCCTTCCTGCACTTTGGAACATGAAGTGTGCAGGTGCTGCAACAACTGTTCATGCCTTCTTTTCAGTTGTGATGCAAGGCAGAACTCAAAGCATTTCTACGTAACTGGTTTCTTACAGGTGATAAAAATCTATTATTTTTTGATTATGTAGTTTTTAACTTGATTATGTAATCAGTAAAACCTCACATTCTTCAAAAAGGAAAAAAAAATAGAAAAGGGTCTGCTATTACCTTACTTTTTGCCTTCTAGAGCTGGAAGAGGGACGAGAGACCCTACCAATTTTGGAAAGCTCCAAATATCTGCAATTCAGTAGTATTTATGTTATGATTCTCTAATGATAACTAATAGTAGTCTCCTCTCTCTGTCTAACCTGTCCAGGCAAATATGATGTTCTGTACAACCATTTGTTGTGTCACTTGCCTTACCTTGCAGCGAATAGAGTCATTCTTGCTGCCCATAGCTCTTGTTTCTGAGAATCTGTGGTATGATCAGTTTGTCTTTTATCTTCTGTGGAATGATCAATTTTACTTTTCCGTCACTTTGTTACTCAAAGAGGAAGGAAAAATAACCTCCTGCATTTATTTCAAGAAGCCCATTATTCTAAGACCTAGCAATTCTTCAAAACATTACAGCAATGAAGTCAGTATTAATTATTTCTTCACATCAAAAGTAGCTCACTGCCTTTGCTTTCATGCTGTTGGGGCTGTCTCCTAAATCTGGTCTTTCACTGTTTGCCAGTGTTGACAAGTACTTCTTTGACTTGGGGGAACCTGAAAATACATGTTTTGTTACAAAAGTAATTTATGGCACTGGGGCCATTGTTCTGTTTATCTGATAGAAGTTTTTTTTTCTTTCCTGAAACAGCTGAAAGAATATGATTTAGACAAATTCTCTGCATACATGCAGCATGGTATAATTGTGACATGCTAGAAAATTCCTGTGGGAGAAGACTACATTTTCTCTGTTTACTTCCTTAGAGCATGATGAATGCTGCCTCCCTTCTTGCCTTTCCAGGATGGAGAGTGTACAGGATAAACTCAGCAGAGCCTGTGGAGATGGAGTTCTTCTGAGACCCCATCATGATTTTTCTGTGTGTCTTGATCATTAGTATCTTTAACAGTCCAGTTGATACTGATTCCTGTGAGAGTAATCATCCTCGCAGAAAGCTCTGTCATTGACAATAAACAAGATTTTCATCTCTGCGGAAGAGTTAAGCAATGCCCAGGCTAAAGATAAAGAGAGCCAAAGGACAGTCCAAATGTAACAATTTGCTGATGTTTTTCTCCCTAAGGGATATCTTTCTAACCTGTTGCTAATCCTTCTACCCCAGCCCTGTTCTTTCTTCTACTCTGTAGGATGAATTATTGTACTCTTTAAAGATCTTCAGAACTCCAGGAGAATTCCTGAGATTCTGAACATGTTAGCAGTGCTAACTGAGAAGCAGCAGCTTAATTTTCACATAGTTGCATTAGACAGAATTTTATGTCCATCAGACTTACATGGCTCAACCAGCATGCTCTGGAACTCTTTGGCTTGCATCCTCTGCAATGAAGACTGCATAAGCAGGAAATCTCAACAAATGAACTTGAAATCTTGCAACAGTGCCCACCCCCTGTCTCTGGTAGTCTGAAGTTAGATGTTTGGTTACTATCAGCAAGAGTGCCTTTCTGCTCTTGGCAACATCCAAGGCTGTTCTCTTCTACTGGTGCCAAGATTACAATTACGAAAAAATTTACTTGTGACTTCATGAAAGATGGAATTCCCCAGGCCAGACTTGGACTGACCATAGCAACTCTCATATTCATAATACCCAAGCTATATAGCTGAAAAAATTGTATTCCATAAAGAGTACAACCCTATTTCTGCATGGCATCCTAGGCTATTGATACACAATCCCTGAAGCACCATTGCACTGGCATTAGACAGTTGAAGTTCTTTTTGAGGGCACAATCCTAATCTCCATGAGCTTCAGTGATTGCCATGAGATAGGCCACCACATGAGACTGTTGCAACCTCCTACAACAGCTATAGGTCTTCCAGAAAACATGGTTAGACTGGGGAAGGCTTACACTGTAAAATTTTTAACTTTTGTGCAGCTGGCCACAAACTATGATGTTCACTCTTGGAAGAAATTAGAATGATGTAGAAGCACATGTTTTGAATTTAATGTGTCTGATTTACTATCATGCTATTCTCCCTGAATACCTTGAAAAGAGAAAGGAGAGGTTATTTCTCTTTTAAATGTGTGCAAACCAGTCTTATACCACCTTTTTAGGGTCATATGACTACTTACACTCATTTATAGCATGTTGGACAAGTATGGTTGTGTCAGGGGAAAAAAATCTAATGAAGATTTAAGAGAGAGCATGAATCAGGCAGTGCTTTTCCTATGACAGTATGAGGGTTGACTGGACATGAGATGGCTGACTGGACTTGCTCTGGGCAAGCAGCTATACAATGAGATGGTATGTTAGTGAAAGTGAGAGTAAATTACAGAAAGTCAGTGCATCTGTTTCTGTCTTCCCAACTGTTCTTTGCACTCATTTTCTAGGAGGAACGGGGGGGTCTAGTGATATCATCTTTGCAATCCCTATAGTTTCTTTTTCCTTTTTCTTTTTTTTTGGTGTGGCTGGACTGAACTTGTGTGTATAGTGGTACTTACTAGTAGCTTTTTCCTTTCTCTTTTGTGACCCACACCCCTACTTTTGTAATTTATACAATAGTGGAAATATTTGGTAAAGCATTGGACTGTATAGTAAGAAGGCCGTGGCATTGTGGTAAGTCAAATGCTAGATAGAAAAACCCCACATCATCAGAAACAATCCTCAGCTATGCTATCTCCACTGAAGAGAGGTGTCTATGTATCTCATACTCATTCTGTTTCCTACTGTGGCTTGTACTTTCATACACTCTATCAGAGCTACTTAATTGTTTCTAGTAGAGAGACATGTTTAAATTTTAATTTTATCTGTAGTTTATCATTGCCCCTTCAGAAATGCAATAGTGGCTAGAGATGAAAAAAATTGTGCTGTATCTGTAGAATTATTAAAAGATTTTAAGTCCTGACTTCCTTACTTTGATGTCTGGTGTGCATGGATGATGAGGTGAGGAATGTTATTAACTGTAACTGCTTACTAAAGTAAACATTTTTTGTTAATTCATCATGTGCCTGTAAAACTAGAAGTCTGAATCTCCTTAAAATATTGCACATTTAATGCATCAAATATCTAAGATGTTTACTAGTTTAACAAAGTAGCTTTTGGAGAATTGTGAAGTAATTGTTCAGTCACCTTGAGCTGCATTTTCTGGGATGAGAATTAACAAGTTTTTGGTCGCAATTTATGTATAAGTTAATCATTAACTTTCTCAAAGGTAATTGTTCATTTTTAAGTTAAATAGTACAAGTTCCATATTCTCTTCAGATTGTTTTATGATTAAATCAGTTGGTTCTAGACTGTAAAAAGAGAACAAAGAACCCCGGAATTAAGATGCCATTATTACCTTTTCAGTCAGAGTTCTAAAAATGTGTTTAAACCCTGGTGTGATAGAGATTCTGGAAAATAAAGCAAAATCTAGAGTAGTTTAACTATATGAATTCCGATGTACCTTCCACCAGTTTTTGATGGAGCAAGTAAAGTAAGAGTATCATGTATGTTAGTAGCCACAAGTACATAATGGTGAATTACGTTATTCTTACTTTGCCTTTATGCTTATATTTGAAGAAAAAGAGAGAGATTTCTTGTGTGTGATTGATGTTTCCATGTGACAGGTGCTGTGTTTGGTACTAGGTATGTAACTGTTAAATTCACACAGCTAAGTATCAAATCTGTGTGTAATTTGTTGGGGATTCCTTCAACAGAGGACACCATGAATGTAGTCATACTGCAAACTGGTTGTCAATCAAAGCCAGGCGCTCACCTGTTTTCAGCAGACAGCATAGGAATTGCAAATGAATGGAGCAGCAGTCTTAACTCCACAAACAGCATTACAAATAGCAGTGGGCAGTCTGGAAATGTAAGTGTAAATAATTCTGGAAAAGTTACTAATTATAATCACTGTGCCAATTTACAATGTTTATTTTATTTCTCAAACGTCTGTTTTTTATTTCTTTGTACTTCAGCAAAAGCGAAGAAAGCAACACTTACAGTAAATGTCAGGCAGTAATATTTAACTGTACTGTAAGCCTAAATGGAATGTCTGCCCTTGGCACCAGATTTAACTATGTATTATTTGTGTTTTCTCTTCTTGTTTTTTGTCTTCAGATGCAATATTTTGAATGCTACAGTGAGGAACATCACTGTTAATCAAATATACAACTACAGGAGAGCTTAATTTACATATTTCTCTTTTTTCTATAGGAGAGGTTTCATTCATGGAAGATCTTGCCTGATCACAGCCCTCTTCTTTGCCCTAATTTGTTAACATTAGGAATTAATTGATGTCCTACCTGAACATGCTTTATACTTAGAACTTCTTACAGTGGTGCAGTACATGTAGTGTGTTTGGGAGTAGAGAGGTGTTTGATTACAAGGGTGGTAAATGTAGTTTATATTAGCAAATGTTATCAGTTAAGAATGAGAGAGAGGAAGGGGAAAGATATATTGCAGGGCTTTTATTTTCTTCCTTTTAGTATCAGTTGGAGTAGATCCTTCTGTTAGGTTTTATGTTTGTTGCAAAATAAGACAGTGACATCTCTCTTGTTCTCTCCTGACTTGCGTTTTTCTTACCTCATTTGCAGCACAGTCATAAGTATGTACACATTTCCTCCCAGAATTTTAACTTTTAGCTTTCCAGTGCTGTTGATCTATACTGTTTGGTTAGAAAACATATAAAAGGACATATTTAAAATAATGTTTAAAAGGAATCACCAATAAATAGTGCAGTTGTTAAAACTTCTGGGTTTCTTTATGTATCTTCATATTGCTGTCCTGTAGGTCAGGAATAAAGATACCAGTATGTCTACATTTTATCTTAGATTCCCAGTACAGAAGTCTGCTCTATATGTGAAAAGGTTCTGAGAGAGGGACTGCCTTTTTATTTAGGAAGATAATTTTCTTGTTGCTAAGGTTCTGAAGCTTTCAGCAGAGACCCATAAAAGCATCTCTTTTCCCAGAAGTTTCTTACCCGTTCATGAATGATTTATGTACAGCTGAAAACACTTCAACTATTCTAATATGCCTTACATCTATAGGGAATCTGTTTTTCTGTTAGTCATTAGGAATCTGATGAACAGTGTGTACATTTTCCATCCCGTGCTTAGTGAGTCTCTGCCTGTACTACTGTTCAGGTGTGAAAAGGAAAAAGTTGCCCCTGCTGCCTTCCCTCTACTTCAAGTGCTATTGCAAGTAGCTACCACCTTTCTGATGCCTGATGAAATGCCTGACAAAATGTTCTCTCTTTCTTTCACTTGAATACTTAACCTGCAGCGTTATTTGATGCACTTCCATTGTTTGTTTTTTTTAATATCCAGTTCTTGATTTTTCATTAGAAGGTTGGTCTGGTTTTCCATGTTTAATTATTGAGTTTTGTTGCTTGCTTGCTTTCACCTTCTCCATCTGCTGTAAATTGCTTAATTTTAGTATTTTAAGTAGTCAGTCAGTTTTCCTCCCTCCCCCCATTTTCCATATCCTAGAAACTTACTTACATTCATGGTTTGTGTTTTTGTCTCCGTTCCAATGAGCTGTCTGTCTTTCTGTCCCTTCCTTTGTCTTCATTCTCATCACTGTTACACACTGGCCCTCAGTAAACTTAATTTTAGTGGTTCTTGTCATGATGTGAAGTTAGACTTTCTATGCCTCTCTTCCTTTGTGGCTTCAAAACAAAATCTCCCTATTTATCTTCCAAAACTTCTTTCACATATCCTGTTATATCTAGTATGCCGGGAGAGTATTCTGCTGTTTTGTTTGCTTCTAGAGGAAAAGGATGATCTAAGAGACCTAAACTCAGTTCTCTGCTCAATCAAACATACCTCTTTGACTGGGAGCAAGTTGCTTAGGTCCCCATTTCTAGAATGTGGGAATGCTATTGCCTTATCTGTAAATGTTATTGGAAGAATGAGTCCACTGAGATTCTGTATGATCCAGATTGATAGTGAGGGAGACTGTATAACTGTTTTAAATATGTACCTTATCTCACCTATACTGTATTCTTATGTCTTCATCTAAGTTGCCTTGTCAGTTAGACTGTCACCAGTCATTCCTCTGTTGTATCTTTCCTTAACATTTCAGTCAGGAAATAGTCTATTCTTCAGCCTTTTTTGGTAAGTGTTGGTTCGGTTTCCATGGAGTGCTTCTACATCTGTGTTTCTTTACCTCCATGTTCTGCCTTCTGTTTTGAAGCATCTAACATTATACTTTTGTCAGATCCTTTGCCTGATCTGTGATAATACTGTTTTTCTCCATTCTGCCTTTGCAGTTCCCTTTGCTTTATACTCCAGCAGTTGTATCATCTAAATGTACTTAAACCTCCACAGTGCAGTTTACCCAGTATGGTGCAGTATTTCCCTTGACTGTAAGTTTTCATTTCAGATTAATACTACTTGCCATCGCCTCTTATCTTTCCCTTTGTTGTGTTGCTCTACCAAGACCTAGATTGGCTTTCTTGGCATACCCATTTTTCTCACATTGCATCAGTGCGGTGAAGTGCCTTAAGTAAGATTTGGAGTCTTTGTATGCATTGTAGCAACAAATTCACTCCTCTTTCCCAGTCCTATGTGTCTTCTTTAGGAGCTGCATTTACACCAGCAACTTCTACTTTCAGCTCTTACTACTTGTTCTTAACCATTGCTACTCTTATGTGCTTTGTTCAGTGTCATCTAATTGCCAGAAGGAACACTTCTTTTTACTCATTCTCCTACTGCTCTTTTTTAATCACGTTTCTTTTCTTTCACTCTTTATTTAAGAGGGTCTTATCATTTCTTCTGTTGTGTTGATAAAATTCATGTATCTGAACTCTTCAGTTATGGGAAACAATAGTAGACTAGGTTTCTTGAGTATTTCTGTGCAAACAAGTCTTGAAACAGCTTGATCCGTGTTTCACATACATTGCTTGCACTGTTTAAACTGTGATGCCCTACTTGGTTAATGAAGTTCATCATGTTACCACTTCTTCATGTTTACTCATCTTTCCATTGCTTATTGGATGTCCTTCCATGAATCTTCAGCTATGTAATGTTTAATCTTCCAATATACTATGCACCTCTTTTCCTCAGTCAAGGTAATCTCTCTGGCATATAGTCCTTTGTATTCTGTATATATGCATCATTCTCACCCATAAGCTTCTGCCTCACCTGAATTTCATCCCTTTATTTCAACTGTTCTCATTTATATCCTGCAATTTTACTGCAATTTAACATACCCACAAGGTCTTCTCCTATGTCTGTTTTTCTTATAGTGCATGAGAGTTGGATTAACTAGGCTTTCTCAGTGTGTGCAACCGTAGTTGCTGCTTTATATGCTGGTTGATTAGCTTTCGAGTGTTACTATATCAATACAAAATGTATATTCTTTTGAGTAACTTTTCAGCCAAAAAAAATGTCAAGAATCTTATTACCTCTCCTTAAAACATGCTCAGCTCACGCTTTAGGATTATACTGCAGAGCTGCTTCATACATCAGGTCTCTGTGTTACTGGTACCTAACTGTGGTGTACCTAAGAGGTGATGATACAGAGCAAAGGCCTGCTGTATGATAAAATTTGTCTGTAAATATTGGTCAAGTTTGTGGCACTGCAAGATTAATAGGAAAACTTGCTCTTTATTCTGGAGATGAAATAGGAGATATATTAAAGGTTAATTGCATTGGTCAATTATGGAATATGTATGTTAGCACTTGCAGGTGAAGAGCCTAGTTTCCCTTTAAAGAGTAAAAGGATAGAAATGTTTGCCATGATGTCACTATGCCCAGAGTTCATGATCTATTCAAAAAAGATTGTGTATTTGCATAGGATATATGTTGCTCATAATGGATGAAGACAAGATAACCTGCACCATCTTTGTTTTATCAAGTTTATCAAAGATGTGTAAATACTTGATCACATGTTTGAGTTAGCACAGTTAAGAAGTCAGTGCTTGTCAGCTCAGTCACACACGGTAAAGATTGTGTGTCTTATAGCTCATCCTGATTGTAGACTCAGTGGTAACATTCTGCTGCCTTCATTAAGCCCCAAGTTGTCTGTTTTACTTCATAACTAGGATGGCTTGACCATGTACATATGATCAGTTACCACACTTATTTGGTAAATAGTAGTTTATTAAGCTGTGACAATGCAGCTGAGTTTGATTACGTGTACATGATCTAAGTCTGAACATTGGTGGTGAATTATACTTCCTTTACTGTGGAATTAGTCTTCTGAGACAGTGAGGGTTGTAGGAAGAAAGTAAGTTACTTGAGAACAAAATTAGTTTTGCAGCTTAGTTAAAAATGCTTACATGTTACCTCTTCCTGTCATCTTCCTCTCCACCCCCCACAACTGTAGGCAATTTAACAGTATGTTTAAAGCCACAAATGTAACACAAATCAAGAAACTCAAGAAGCTGCTATTTTCATAGGAAATATAACTAGTTTTATAGGTGCATGTTTCCTTATTTTCTTTATAGAAGTTCAGCTGTAAGCAAAAGCCCTATAGTAGATGAGAACCAGGGGAGAGAATGTGTCACTGTTCTACATGCTCTTTTTCAAAGCAATTTAGCTGCAGTGAAGAGTAGTGACAAATGATTCCTTTGTAAGAATCTAAGAGGCCAAGGTCTGTGCAGTTACAACAGTATGAGGATGTGACCCTTGTTAAGGCAAGCTTGGCATCTTTCAACTTGTGGTGTGTCAGAAATGTTCAGGCATACTCCTATCACCTTGAGCAGACACAAAATTGGAAAAGTTCTTTTGTAACCCTGTGAAAGTGATAGGTAATCCAAAATACATCCAGCTGCAGTGTTTAGTTAAGCTTAAAAATGAATCTATGAAGATTTACAGCTGAGCCTCAGTAAAGTGAGAAATGTCAGCAAGTACTGCTCTTTAATTAGACTAAATCCTTAGGGGTTGAACTGTGTTCTTCCTGTGCTTGTGTCTTTGACTACACAGCACAGATTTCCATTTTTACGACAGACACATTCCTGAAGATTATTTAGATCTGTTGAGTCTCTTTATCCCACACTCAGAAAATCAAATGCCACAAATCTTAAATTAAATTTGTAGGGCAGTTTCCAAAGATCATGTTGAAGACTTCCTCCAGAGTTGAGCCAGCTGTATGAATTCTAGCTTCTGTTTGTGCTTCTGTCTCAATAAAGAAGAAAAAGTCATTAAAAGAAAAAAGACTAACAATTGGCAATAGATTTTCCTAGTGTCAGTAGTGCTGAGGATGGTTCATGCCAACACTAATAACAAACTAAATTCTGCAGTATCAAGGAACAAAAAGTAAGCATTGATAGTTTCCCTTTCTCCCTCTTGCACTCTTTTTTGTATTGTGTTGTATTGTAACCTCTTAATGCTTTCATCTATGTATGTATGTTAATACCACCATTGATACCTGCTGTAACCAGAAGGATCATGGGTGGCACCTTATGGTCTTATCTAATGGCCTACATACCTGATATCATCTGATCTTGACCAGTAACTCTGTACCCCAAGCCCAGTACTTGTGGGTGAACAAGGGCATCATTCCCCACTTATGGCTATGTTGTCTGCAGGTAGCCCTCCAGGACAAGTAAACCGTAATGGCTATCTTCCTCCCTCTTCCCCTGATCTTCATGTGGTCACACTGTAGGGGAGCAATCATGATGTACATCTTCCTGTGTCATAAAATAATCTGTGTTGCCTGACGACCAGGAAGAGTGGACATGAAAGAGTCTGAGAAACATTCTGTGCAGATTAGAGAAGTCATCCTTAAACTGAGTCAATAGCTTATCTAAATTAGTGTCTTACTTTGGATGTTAGTCTGCCTTCACTGTCTAGTTTTTTCATCTTACATATCTGTCTGCTCCATTAAGCAGCCTCATGCTACCAGAAGTATGTTTTTAAGTGTACTTACAAGATGAAACTATGTTATTCATAAAAAGTTTTCAAAATCTTTTGATATGGAGCTGAATATTTTAGCATGTTTTTATTGACAAAAAAACCAAAAAACAAACATGCTTTTTTTTAAATGTTTTTTTCCTGGCAGTGTCCTTTTATTTTCTTTATAGAATAAAGAAAGGATTTCAGTACTTTAGAGCTGAAAAAATATACAAAGTTAGTATCACCATGCACAGGGGCAATCTTCAGTTTTGGATTTAAAGGAAATTGTAACAGAAAGAGAAACGTTGCATGTTGTAACAAGTGTGTGGTCAAAACATGAATTCTTCAGGCTTTGACTTCAGAAGGATTTTTTTCTGAGTAACCCTTGGCTATCAATTTAATTATTTTTGCTGTGATGCCCAATCTTCTACTTCTGTCAGCTCTCAGGGTATATGTACATTTCAGACTGTTGTGTAAAAAAGCAGTCTTTGGATTTAAGGAACAATATAATTACAGAATCCACACAGATAAGGTTCATGACAGGAGATTTTCTGTAGGGATAGGAGTGAGTGAATGCATAGGTAATAGTCTTCAGTGAGTATAGGGCTTAATTTGTTGGAAGTGTTTTTTTTCTGTCCAGAGTTAAGACCTCATCCAGGTTCATGTCTGTCCTCTACCTGATATAGAAGAATTTCAATCTGAAGTTCCTGCTGCTCAGGAGGGACATTCTGAGGTTACACTGTTCTGGGGAGAGAGCTGTCTCTTGTTAAAATGCTGATTTGCTTATAATACTTCCCCATTCTTTGGAGTATGGAGTGAAATTAAGGGTTAGGGTTAACCTTGAATCGAGATTTTAACAGTAAACTGTATAGTTATTCTTGTTTGTCTGACTCAGTGTGTATTTTGTATTTAAACAAACCAAAACATCTTTGGCAGAATTTCATTCCATTATTGTATTGTCTAGTTTGGTTCCCTGGAGAGGTGGCAGATTCTGTTCCAAAACAAGCACAGAAGGGATTGAAATGTGCATCATCACTGTTTGTTCTCACCACTGGGCTGTTGGGCATAGATGTAGGATGCAATGTATTTTCATACTGCCTTTGTGTGAGTCTAGTTATAAATCTAGTTTACTTAAAAATGTAGAAACAAGCAATGATGCCCACAATTCCACCATTACTGTAGGATGCTGGAACCTGAGTTCATAAATTTCAGTTTGATCAGAATTGTGCTTTTAGCAAAAAAATTGCCCAGACCTACTTTACAGATTGTACCTTCAGCTTAAGCCTTTTACTTTAGAAGTTTAAAACTCTCTGGAAAATGTACAGCAGAACTAAAAATGAAAAACTCAGTAATGTTTTAAAATACTCAAATGATAATTTATTAATTAATAAACATTTAAATATTTAAGAATCTCAGAAAACAGCCTTTTGAGATTTACAAACAAGCATTGAGATGCTTTTTGCCAAGATTCTACATGTCTTTTTTAACTGCTTGGCTTGATACAGATGAATTCTTTTTTAAAAGAGTGAAATGTATAATGCTTGCATTAAACTGTAAATTAAGAAATATATGAACGAATGGAAATCAAGGTTGTCAGAAAGCAAGTATTCCTTTATTTTAAATTTATATCCATTAAGTAATCTCTGCCTGTGATTCATTTTGTGTGTAGGGACCAAACAAGTTTATATTCTGTTGTTACAAATGCATCTTGTCTTGAAATCTGTATTTTTACCGTAGCTCCATGTTACTTTTGTCATCTGCTACTTACTTAAGCTAATACCAATATATATATATATATATATATATATATATATAAATAAACCAAAGTTAGTGTTGTATTTACATAAGACTGAGGTTAATTTAGAATTTCAACTGATAGTGTTACCGAGGGAGACTGTAGCTGTGAAGATAAAAAAAAATATCATAGCATGTATTAGACACTGTTTTCTGTCTTCTACAGATTTCCTGTTCTTCAAGTCCAACTGTAACATCAAGTTCTGGTAGCAGTAGTTCTTTATCACCCCTTGGACCTCTTTGTAGACAGAGATCATTAGCAAATGGAGTTTTGTGTTCTGAGTCTAGCACATCAGGTGTTTCTTCACCAACATCTAGCTATCCAAAAGCACCAGGTTTTGAACGAGAAGATCAGGTACGTGAATAATATTGGTCTAGATTTCTACCTCCCAGTATAGAGATCAAGTGATCATTGACCAAATGTCGTGGAAGCAGGGCAGTTACAGTATCAAATGGCTGCTTTCTGAACATGAGGCAACAGTAATTGAGAAGTGATGTAACCATCGGTGAAAGTCTATTTTGCTGGTTTGTGACTAATGTACTGCTACAAAGGATGTGTCTCAGCAGCAAAAACATCCTGTGTTTGCCTTTCAGTGGCCACATTGAACCTGTCTAGAGGGAAAGCAGTGATGGACTTTGCAATTGTTAAAAAAGCATCTAGAGTGGTGGGAGGTGGAGAGTTGTTACTGCTAGGGAGCTTTCATTAAAAGACAGATTGGGAATCTCCCAGAGAAAACAAGGAACAGACTACCCAAATAGACTAGACTAATAAGACTACCCAAAGGCAGCAGAAAGAACTGATTTCTTTCCTAAGGAGACAGAGAGCACCTTCCAGAGTTTACTGTAATTCAGGAGATCACTGCAAATTACTGACCTGAAAAGAACAGAGATCCTTTGATCCTGCTCTGCAAGGACACAGTGGGCAAAGAGAAATTGCTTAGAACTCCCTTTTATTCAAGTATGCCTCACTTGTTTCAAAAGTTACCTTATTATAAAATGGTGTTCAGAGAAAATCTTCCCTTATATTTGATTTTTTTGTTGTTATTATTGTAGCATGATCATTTTAAGGGAAAATCTAGGCAGTTCCACTCAGACTTTTGGCTACTTCAGGCTTCTATCCCACCAGCCTCTTGGAGAAGGATTGCCCAGCTGGTGACCATTTGGGACATGTTATTTCTGTCACAGCATAACACTAACATGGCTACTTAATTTTTGGACCAGAAATAACTTGCATGTACTCAATTATGCATATAAGTGGAACAGTTTGAACTGCTATTCCTTCTCCATGTAGATTTACTCTATGATCATTAAAATTTAATTCTCCATATGGGACTGCATTGAAGGAAATGAAATCAGCCTGTTGAAGATGCCATTACGGAGATGCCACTGAGCCTTCATAAACTAATAATATATTTACAGCAGTGACTTACGAAGTTTATATATTACAGAGATTTTTCTTCTTTCAGGCAAAGCATCGAAGCTTCCCAGCTGAGTGTCTGCAGAAAATAAATGAACAAGACAACAAGCAGGTATTGGCAAAAACTAAATGCTGTAAATATTTTGCCCTTTTTGATAATTTATTAATGCATTATCAAAGTTATGTGGCACTTTACAACATAGTCTAAGGAAAATTTGTGCCCAGTGACAGGATAAGAAGCAACAGGCACAAACTGAAACACATGAGGTTCCAGCTAAACTTACAGAAATACTTTTTTACTGTATGTGTGAGATGGAGCATTGGAACAGGTTGCCTAGAGAGGTTCTGGAGTCTCCCTCCTTGAAGTTATGCAGAAGCCATCTGGACATGGTCCTGCACAGCTGGCTCTAGGTTCTGTGAAAATGTACGATAGATGTGTGCTGCAGGGAGTACCAGGGATGAGAAGAATATGAGGCATTTTGAGGATGCATTTGATTATAGCAACTCGATGGCACATAGTGACATTTTGGATTAAGTTAATTTGTGAGTGAATTGATAAAATTTAAGGAAGGCCAGAAGGAAGATGACAGTACAGTTTTCAAGTGTCACATGCTCAAAACTAGAAAAATAGTTAAAGTGACAGGAAAGAGGGCATAGCTTTGACCTCTCATGAAGCTAATTGGGTGATAGAGGTCATTCTATATATGCAAAGAACTTAAAACTCTGCCATCTTTGCACTGCTTAGAACAAGAACCCTGATGCTTTTTTAATGACTGTGTCAGGATAAATGAGTTTTACCATTTGCCATTCATGCAGCCATACAGGAGTGTATAATCTAAAATGGAGGATTAAAATGTATCTTACATTTAAAAAGCAGGAGGAGTGGTGCAGAATAAATAAGGAAAGAAAACAAGATATACATAGATCCTATGAGCTCTGTGCAGTAAAATGATAGCACATGAACCAATTTAAAAGTATACATTGTTTTTTTTTCCCTTACATGTCTATAAATCAGTGAGAGTGGCAGCCATGAAAACTTTATAATTTTTTCGATTTGCCCTAAAAGGTAGACTTTCTACCGCTATTAATGTTTGTAACAGAGTAAATAGGACATACCTAGTTTAACATCTTTATCAACAATCTGATGGAGGAATCAAGTTTGCAGATAACATGAAATTGGTGGGACCAGTCAGTAGGGCTGGGCTGCCATTCAGAGAGACAGACTAGAGGAATAGGCCAACAAGATCTTTGTGAAATTCATTAAGGACAAGTGCAAAGTCCTGCACCTGAGAAGCAAGAACCTCTTGCAACAGTACAGGCTGAGAACAAGAACAAACTGGAAAGCAGCTCTGCGGGAAAGGACCCGAGGGTCTTTGTAGACAGCTAGCTGAATGTGAACCAACAGTGTGCTCTGACAACAGAGGAGGCCCAACATCATCACAGGCTGTATTACCAGGAGCATGAAGTAGATCAGTGGATGGAGTTACCTTTCTGCTTAGCACTTGTTAGACCACATCTAGAATACTGCATCCAGTCCCGGGCTTACAGTACTGAACTAGGGCAAGCTTAGCACATGGCTGCCAAGATGATCCGGGGACTGGAGCACTTGCCCTGCAAGGAGAGGCTGAGGAAGCAGAGCTTGTGTATCCTGAAGAAAAGAAAGCTTCAGCAGGACCTAGTAGCAGCCTTCCAATACCTATGAGGTGGTCAGCAAGAAAATGGAGCCAGCCTGCTCACAGTGGTGCGCGGTGGATGGACAAGAGACCACAGGCTTAAGTTGAAGCAAGAAGCTAAGAATGGGTATAAGGACAATTTTTTTCACCATGGGGAGACTCAAGCAGTGGTTGCTGAGTGTGATTGTACAGTCTCCATCCTTGGAGTTTTTCAAGACCAGGCTGGCCAGACACTGAATAACCTGATCTGACTTAATTAGCTGATGTAGCTCTGATCAGGAGGTTGGACTAGGTGACCTCCCAAAGTTCCTTCCAACCTGAATTTTCCTATTATCCGGTGAGCTTAAGAATACTTAGTGAGTTCTCTTAAAAAAAAAAAAGGTGTTATTTAAACTCCGTTTAATTAGAGCAGAGTGTATGAAATTCTATGTAATTATAAAGCTGTTGACATCTTTTTTTAATAACCTTTCTATCCTGTCTCGTTTCTGTTTATTTTGTCTCTCCATTCTGTTTAGATATCCTCCAGAATGGGAGTGTTGAAGTCACAGATAGGGTCAGTTTTGGTCTGTCAAAACAGAAGAAGGAAAGGAATGTTTTAGCTGCACAATTGTATCTGTCTGTAGGTATTGAGTAGGACAAGGAGCTTGCTGTTTGTAAAGACTTTAGGGAGGAAGAAGAGACTAGTCTAGTAGATGTAGGTGTTTATGCTGGGGAGAAAGAGAACTAACTGAAGAAATTCATCAACTTTGTGTGGGTGTGTGAAATTTCTTCACTTCCCTCTCACCAAGGGGCCTCAGCTTAAGATGGGACAGGCCAAAAGGAGATATATTTTGAGTCTGATAATTTTTCAGTAATACAAAAAGCCTGTACTGCCTCTCCTACTTGTATTGACTTTGATGTCATGTTTCTCCCATGACAGGGTTCATGATCAGGCTTATAACCTAGGATTCCTACACCTTGTCATGTTTTCCTTTTACTTTTTAAATTATACAGCTTTTTTTTATGGTTTATTGTGTAAATATTGCTGGTTCAGAGATTTTTTTTTTTTGGCTCAAACATTTATGGAAACGGAAATCAGCAATGTTCCATTTAACATTTTGCATTGGGATATTAGAGAATGTTTTGTGAATTGGGTGTAAATTACAATATTGGAACAAAGTTTGGAAAATCATATCATAAAATAATAGAATGGTTGAGCTTGGAAGGGACCTCTGTTGAAGTTAAACAAGCTTCAGCACAAGGTCTTACACCAGGGTCAGGACAGTCCCCAGTATCAGTGCAGACTGGGTGGTGAATGGGTTGAGAGCAGCACTGCAGAAAAGGTCTGGGGGGTACTGACTGGTGAAAAATGAGCCAGCAACGTACACTTGCAGCCCAGAAAGCCAGTTATCTGGGGCTGATCAAAAGAAGTGTGGCCAGCAGGTCAAGAGAAATGATTCTCCCCCTTTAGTCCTCTCTTGTGAGACCCCACCTGGAGTTCTGACTCCAGCTCTGGGGTTCCTGTACAGTGAAGGTATGGACCTGTTAGAGTGGGTCTGCAGGAGGGACATGAAAATGATCTGAGGGCTGGAACACCTCTGCTATGAAGAAAGACAGAGAGTTGGAGTTATTCAGCCTGGAAAAGAGAAAGCTTCAGGGAGATGTTATTGAGGCCTGCCAACACTTAAAAGGGGCTTATAAGAAAGACGGAGAAAGGTTTTTTACCAGGGCCCACAGTGACAGGACAAGGGGCAACATTTTTAAACTGAGAGAGAGTAGATTTGGATTGGATACTATGAGGATGATGTGACACTGGAAGAGGTTTCCCAGAGCAGCTGTGGATGCCCCATCCCTGGAAGGGTTCAAGGTTGGGTTGGGTGGGGTTCGAGCATTGTTTCAAGCATTTTTTGTAGTGAAAGGTGTCCCTGTCCACAGCAGTGGGCTTGGACTAGATGATCTTTAAAGGTCCCTTCCAACCCAAACCGTTCAGTGATTCTCTGGAGGTCTGTCCCCTTGTCAATGCGGGGTCAGCTAGAGCAGGTTTCTCAGGGCCTTGTCTAGTAGCATTTTGACGTGCTGGGTCTCTGTGTGTGGCAGGGATCTTGGCAGCAGGGCTGAGGGTACAGTAGTGGCCCACTCTGAGAAGCTTCTTGAAGCTCCCCCGGCTCCAAGTCAGACCCGCCTCTGGCCAAGGCCGAGCCAGTTAGTGACCGTGGCTGTGCCTCTGCCATAACATATTAGGAAGGGGAACCTGGTAGGGGGTTGGGGCTGGTAAGGAGGAGTTAGGCGAAGGACACCTGTGCAAACACCATTGTCAGTGGGAGGAAGGAGGACCAAGTGGGAGGGGTGTGCCGGAGCAGAGACACTCCCCCCACATTCCATGGTGAGACAGCAGGGCCACCCCCCTGCCACCTGTGGAGGTCACCTGTGGAGTAGCGGCCAACCACGACCTGTGCAGGACTCCACATGAGCAGGCAGCTGCAGTTGAGTCCGGGACCCTGAGGGGAGGAGCCCCCACTGCTAATGGTCACACTGGAGGACTCAGACAGCAGGGCTGACCCACACCGGAGCAGCATGGGAGCTGCTGCAGCCTGTGGGATGAACTCATGGCAGAGAGAGTTTGTGGAGGAGAGGGGGGAGCCATGTGGAGTAGGGGAAGAATGCAGGAGAGTGCTTCTCCCCTCCAGGAGGAAAGAGCAGCAGACTGACCAAAAAACCCCCAGTCCCTGACCCCCTCTGCTGCTGGGGGGAGGAGATAGACATTTGGGGAACAAAACTGAGCCCGGGAAGAAGGGAGGGGTGGAGGAGGTGTTTTCAAGATGTGGTAACACTTCTCACTGTCCCATTGTGTGTGTTGTGTTGGTTTTGTTAGCATTTGAATTAAAGTAATGTTATTTTTCTTCCTCTAAGGAGTCTGAGTCTGTCTTTTGCCTGTGACTATAATGAGTGAGTCATCCCTCTCTGTCCTTACATCAACTCCCAAGCTTCTTGCTTCATTTTTCTCCTTTCCAATGATGGTGGGAAAGGGGTGAGTGAGCAGCTGCGTGGTGCTCATTTGCCCTCTGGGCTCAAACCACAATATTTGAATACTTCCAAAAAATGAAGGTTCCACAGCCTCTTTGGGTGACATGTTCACGTGTATGGCCATCATCACAGTAAAAATTATTTTGTGTCTAAACAAAACTTTCTGTATTTCAGTTTGTGCCCATTTAAAAAAAATTTACTCATTCTCATGGTTGTTATTGGCCTCAATCTTGCACTACATCTAACTTGGAAATAGAAATTTTCTATGGTATTGATAGAAATCAGGAGAATAGAAACTGCACAATCACTGCTTATTACACACAAGGCAATGAAAAGATGCATGGATTGATCAGTCACAGTTAAATGTTGGTTTTAGTAACTAAAATATTGGAGGGAATAAATAAACAGTAAACAATAAAAGGAATTAATATACAGGAAACTCTTCACCAAGTCCCTGTAGACTTTGTGAAGTTATTTTCCCATTTAGAATGTTACTTGGTTATATATTGTTTGCATTTCTTACATTTTATAATTTAAATGCATGATTTGTATGAAAAAAAGTGTTCAGCTAGAAAGAAGTAGCACAGGTACAGGTCATTATATAACATGATACATGTGTCCAGTGTAGCCATGTTTCTCATCTGTCTAAATCGAAGACCAGTTTATGCAGCAATTGCATCTAGATAAAATGAGCAACTTTGCAGATCAGAAAAAAAAATATAATTTGTGTATGAATGCATAGTGAAATGGTACAGTTCCTCAGTAGGTATTTTCCTTTTGAAAAGGAGCATCAGACTTCTGCTAATTATATTTGTAGAGCTTATTTGCAAGTATTTAAACACCTTTTTTCTGAAAGCAGAATTGCCTCAGTATGGTCATGATGTCCAGCCATGTAGGAGAAATGCACTTGCTGGTAAACGATAAAGAAGATTGTCCTAATTGATTTATTCAGAGGGTTCTTCTGGAGTTCTTTCTGCTTGAAATAAAATAACTACTTAAAAAAATACATTCTGTTTATTTCATACCTACATATATCTGTGTGTGTTGTGTGTGTATACATATGTTGTTTGGTTTTTTTTAACAGAGTCATCTCAGTGTTTTTTCAGCAGTTAACCCACTTGCTTCAAGTATAACTTCCAGTCTGGCCTCCAGTGTTGGATCAGATAGTTCATCTCCTACAACTGTCTCTGCTATCAGTGCCAAAGCTCTCACATTCTATTCTGGCAGTAACACAGTTGAATCAGTAATAGGTGAGTCTTAACATTTAACCTCTGATTGTGTGTGCTTTGTTGCATTATTCAAGTTCTTGTCTCAGCATATGTTCAAAGAGCTTATTGGTAAAGACAGTAATGTACACACCTGCTTTATTATATGTGATTAAAAACAATATCTGAAATTTAATTGAAATGTTTTCACCCAAAATCATTATTTTTCACAGGGTCTCCAATGTGAATGTAGGAATGAGTGAATGGGACATGTAAACTGGAACTTTGGCATTGGTATTGGCCAATGATTTAAAAAAGCATGTAAAACCTTCATAATGCAACTCACTATATTGTTAGAAGTACTGTCTCCTCAACTTATGTTGATGGGATGATGAAATAGACCTTTTTTTTTTTAATGTTGCTGTAGAAGGTGCAATTACAGATCCTACTGTGTTCCCATGAAGATGGGAGAATTTTCTTTGGCTGACTAAATATTCTCCAGTCTGGTTGTCTGCATGTTCAGGGACAAAATTTTTTATTCACACTATGTGGGCCAGATCTGAAAGGACGCAAAGAGGAGGAGCCCTTGCTTTCTGGGTGCACAAGACAGATTCTGGGAAATGCTTCCAAAATTTCTGTCATTAGGCCAGATGCTTTCCTGTGCTTCCAATGAGCTAGGCTGTTTATGTGGAAAATGGTGAAAGGAGATAATTATTTCAATAATAATTAGACACTGGGAACTTCAAAACTGGTCATAGTACTCCTGCTGTGATCTCGCAGGTGCTGTACAGAGAGGAATAATCACTTCTCCCAATCTGCTGGCTACACTTTTACTAATGTAGACCAATATTCTTTTAGCTTTTATTGCCACAGAACATGCTGAACAAGTCACTCGTCAGAATTCCTAGATCTTTTTCTGCAGTGCTGCTTTCTGATCATTTGGCCCCCAGCTTATACTCTTTCAAGGGATTGTTCTGTCCCATGTGCAGCAGCATTGTATTTTCCTTTTGTTGAACTTGATGAGGTTTCTGTCAGTCCAGTTCCCCAGCCTTTTGAGATCCCTCTAAACAGCAGTCCTGCCATCAAGTGTATCAGTAGCTCCCCTTAATTTAGTATTATCCACAAACTCGTTGAAATTTGTGGCATTTTTGCACTAAATGTGGTTTATTCAGGAGTGTGTATCAGGGAATGTTGTGATTTGAAAGATTATGTATTTCACATTCTGTGGTGTAAGTCACATGATCAGGGAGTTGCTGTGATTAGTTGGTGTACTTGAAGCTTTCTGTGTTTAAATCGATGTGTAGCAGCAACCAGGAGACTGCAGACAGTGAGTCAGCACTTCGGCACGGTAAGTTAGGCATTCACTCTTAATTTTTCTAGGAAAGAAATCTGTGCAGAATATAGGGATGAATCTTTTTCTGCAGTCTTACAAGTATGTATAGGTTGTTTTCCTTAAAGGCTTTTTTGATGATCTGTGTGTTAGAGCAGAAAATAAATTTTAAATTATTTTTAAATTTCAGAATTAGAACGAGCAAAATTTTAGTTTTTACTCTATGCAAATAATATCCGCTTATGGTTTATATTTTAAGATATACTATGGAATGAAATCATGTTTTTGTCAAGATAAACATTGCTTCTCAAATAAGTAGAGGCTAGTTGGCTGTAACAAGTTACTTGTGTAAGAATAAAAACCACGGTCTAATTTCTGTATACTAGGTGTGCTAATTCAATATAATTATTAAATTGTGATATGCTGAACAAGTGTTGCAGAGTCATTTAAACGGTCATATGCTGTTTCCCATGTCCCAGTGTGATAGTATTACTGAGCATAAGAGACTCTTGATTCTTTTGAGAGAGAGTATGCCTCTGCTGTCTATGGATGTTTTTCTACAACAGTTTTCAGTATGCTATGTTTGCTAACAGAATATGAATCATAAAATACATGTCTCATGTAAGCATAAGTTGGTGTACCTTATGGCAACTCTGTAGATTTGGGGTTTTTCCTTAAAAGAATTTCATATGTATGTATAAATATTTTTACAGAGTTTTGCTTTGTGGATATACAGGATGGCACTGAAAATAAAGCACTGCATGTAATCAGAATAGTGCAGAAAATTAAAGACATTATTGTAGAACAGAAAATAAACGCATAGTTTTCTTGTAGGAGGTGGTGGATTGAAGAATCATTTTAAAAAAGGGATAGAAAAAGATCTGCAGCAAGAGAAGGGGTTAGGTGATAATGGAAAAGGGGATAAATGGGTTTGGATAAAGGATTAGGGGAAATGCATGACAGTTACATTAGCAAGGACTGAGGAAGCTTTGTCAGGCAGTGGGGTTTGGAGCCCTTTCTGTGGCCCTTTGTCTTGATCTCATGGGGAGCTCCAAGCCTTTTGTGTCTGCTCCCTAAGTAATAGTCCGCAAGAGCAGAGGAAGAGAAGGGTACAGGGAGTTGCGAGTGAGCATACCAATCAAAACTAGTTTTTAGCATTGAGGCTTGGACAGTACATTGAAAACTGAGGCATGATGGACTGGAAGAAGGTATATTGTAGCAGTCTACCCCTGTCAGAGTCAGGGGAGATTGGTTGAGTCGTCTGGTTTTGTTCTGATAAAAAAAAGAAGTATCATCTGAGAACATAAAATCTGCAGGGTTTTTGAATTCCTCCTGATTTTTTTTTTTTAAAGAATAAATTAAAATTTTTTTTGAGAGAGAATAGAGAAATTAGATAAACAAAGTATCAAAGGAGACAGATTTGGAGAGGAATAAATGGGGAATGGACAGCAGTGAATGGGAACAACTCTAGTGGTAGTAGGGAGAAAGTGGGACCTTAACATTAGGGGACATCTGCCAGCCCAGTACTTTGCCCTGTTGTCTGTGTTAGTTTCTGGGTGGACCTCCCCATGCAAATGTTTTGATTGCTTCCATTGCTTTCTGTTGGACACTCAAACATGGGGACTTTGCCTGTCCGGGAGACTTGCCATTCAAGGAAAATTGGTGTCTCTCCATTTGCTTCCCATATATTTTGTGCTCTTAAGATGTTGTCTGTATTCTCCCTCCACTCCACTGACTTTCCAGCATGTGAGGTGGAGTCTGAGAGAGCCGGAAGGTATCAGAAATTAAGCTTTGAAAATCTAGATAATAGACAGTAAGGAGACATGTCAGTCCTTGTTGTGGTAGGGGAGGACAAGTGTGGCAGAATGAGTTAAGGCCTCACATGAGGAGAACATGACAGGTTAGTAATTTAGGAAGGGTGCAGGCTTAGATTTGATCTACTAATTCTTCATTTCAGCCATCATGATAGTTTTATGGATAATTCAAGGATAATTCATTGCTACAATGTTTTGTTTAACAGGTTCTGCTTTAGATTTGCACTTTAATGATGTGAACGTCACATCCATAGATAGAGAATTAGAAGATCAAGAAGGCAGTGACCTTGGATTAGCAAGTAAGAGGTCCAGTTTGTAAAATTATGCTCATTTAAAATACCTTTCTTTCTCAATTTCTAGTCATCAAAAGAGTTAACAGACAGCAAAGACTTTGAAGGAAAAGTCCTCATTTTGTTCCAGCTATTTAATTGTGTGGTGTAAAGGGATTGCACTGCTATAATCCTGTCTGTATTTTGCAAGGGATCAGTCTATTAAACATTTTGGTTCTTTTTTTAACATGCTTAATGACTTGGGCCTGTGGGCATAATAGGTGATGGAAGGATTTACATGCATTTACAGGAAGGTATTATGCTGTCTGGTGATGATGCTAACTGGTTGTTCTTTCACCAGAACAGTTTATATGTTATCTATTAACATTTTCCATTATTGTTCATGATATTCCCCTTCATACAGACCTGGAAGGAAACTGGTAATGTGTGCAACTTCAAATTTATTTCTCTGCTAGGGATGTCAGGCTCAACAATTCTCCTGATGCTGTAGTTTGTTTGACTGGTATTTCATTTACAGCCTTGTTCTATGCTGCAGTAATGATTATGCTTCATTGGAAGTACCATGAAGTATGGAACAGGAAGGAAATACTGTAACCAGTTTTATTTGTATGTGGAAGATAGTTCATACCGTGCAATAGGTTGACCTTGGTGGGTAGCCAGATACCCATCCAGCTGCTCTCTCATTCCCCCCTCCTCAACAGGACAGGGGGAGAAAATAAGATGAAAAAGCTTGTGGGTCAATATAAAGACAGGGAGATCACTTACCAGTTGCTGTCATGGGCAAAACAGACTTGATTTGGGGAAAATTAATTTACTGACAATTAACATACAGTTGGAAAGAGAAGAACTAAAAGAAGTCCCTGCTTTTTACCCCGGCTCAACTTCATTCCCAACTCTTCTATCTCTCCCTTCCCATCCCGAGCAGCACAGGGGGATGCGAAATGGGGGATAGTGGTCAGTTCAGAACAGTTCCTCTCTGCTGCTTCTTCCTCCTCACACTTTTTCCTGTTCCAGCATGGGTCCTCTCCAGGGCCGCAGTTCCTGTCAGGAGAACCTGTGGCAACATGGGCTGCGGTTCCTACAGGCAGTATCCACCTGCTCTGACCTGCTCCTCTCCACAGGCTGCAAGGAAATTCCTGCTTGTGCCCTCATCTTCCTCAGGGTGCAGGGACATACCTGCTCCACTGTGATTTCCTCCAAACCCTCCACGGGCTGCAGGGAAGTCTGCTCCAGGGAAATCTCTGCTCCAGCAACTGGAGCACCTCCTCCTCTTTCTTCTTTCCTGACCTTGATGTTCACAGGACTGTTTCTCACACCTTTTGTTCCCTCCTCCTCTGCCTGTGTGGCATTTTTTTGCCCTTTCTTAATTATGTTCTCCCAGCAGCACAACCACGTGGCTGAGGGGCACGGCTGTGTCAGGTGGTGGGTCTGTTGGAGCCGGCTGGAATGGCCGTGTCCAGTGCAGGGCAGCCCCGGCCCTTCGTGGACCCCCTCACAGCCCCCCCCAAACCTTACTCCATAAACACTGGACATGCAAGCACACTGTATTTGCCAAAACTCGACTGTATTTGAAGACCACTTTAAAAATCAGAGGAGGGATGGTTCTTCTGCTGCTGTTTCATACACTTTTTATCGGGGCTTTACTTTGTCTCTTGATTTTTAAGAGAATTCTTACTTGGTGAGATTTTTAAATTAAACTCCCTTTACTTTGTTGCTTCCTTGCTCCTCTTGGGGGGAGTGGTGTGCATTTATTGTCTGGTATATTATGTACATCTGTGGTTATATATCTGTCCTGTATCTTCCTCATTGGTCGTGAGGCTGACCTTGGTAGCATTTGCTGAGTATTTCAACATACTTTTTTTTTTTAAGACACCATAGCAATGTAGCTTATAATGAGCATCCCTGTCTTTTTATTGTGAAATACTTCTAAAAGGAATTATGTTTTCTCTGATGACATGTATTCACCTGTTTTAAGCAAAAACATAAAACTAGAATCACAATCCTTGTTTTAACTACAATCATTTGACTGCTATATTTTTTTAAAAGCAAAAGTGATGTCATTTTTAGTTGCTATTCAAACATATTGATCAATAAAATCTTCACAGTAAATATTGAACCGTTTCCTGACCAGGAAACACTGCATCTATGCATGTTTATTTAAGTAATTGCATGATGGAACATCTTTTTTTTGATACCTATTTTTTATTATTACCATTATTTGGGGAAATTATGAACAATGCATTTGACTAAATTATTCGTTTTTACTTTGTTTCAAACCCAGTTTTCATAGAGAGTTCAGTACCGTTGACTTTTAAAATCTACTAAACAAAAGCAAAAGTATGTAGAGGAAAGAAATTGAGCTCTGTCTGATTATTATGCTGTGTATGACTTTTGAAATACATAGTCTTGCTTAACTCTAGTTTATATATTAAAATAAATGCCAATTTTTTCTTAATCCTTTTTCAGTCAATTTCTCCATTTGTGTTAGTTAGTGGCTATAAAAATGATTAAGTCAACTTGATCTGAAGTGTTTTCTCTTTCTTTGTAGCTGCAGATAAAGCAACTGCTGTATAAAGCTACAAATTCTGTTTTCAGGCACTTGGGAAACTACTTTCAAGTGTTCAATTTAAAAAATATTTTTGTAATAGAAGATAAATGAAGCTTTCTTTTTTAATGGAAGCTATTTGAATATATAATTTAATTTACATTTGATACATTTTTCACAAAAATACTTAGAGACACCTGTGTACCTGCTTTGGAACAAATGTTGTTTTGTTTTGTTTTTTTACCCCCCTAATGCATACATAGGTCAAAGATTACTGGGAAGTTCAGCACCTGTCAATATTCCAGGTTCTCTTGTTCGTTCCTCATCTTTACATTCATCATCATCCCTTTCAACCTCTCCACTCAGTTCTCTTTCACAATCGCTGTCTCAGTCTTTTGTTTCATCTGCTACGGCTCCTCACCACCAGCAGCCTCAGCCTCTGAAGACAGAACATAGTATGTTAGGCACCTCAGCCTCTTCTCACAACTCTTTAGGTAAGTTGAAGGCTGCACCTTGTGTATTTTAAGAGGTAACTCAATGGCAGGTAAGAAATGTTCAGTTCAGGGGTTTACATGTTGCTTACGATTTAACCTGGACAGCAAAGCCTAGCTATTGCATTTGATAACACTACTGATAATGGAGTTATATGTGGTATGTGTGAGAAAGTTCAAGGAACAAACTTCTGTACCTAGTGAAGGGAAAAAAGGAATTCTTGGAAGAGGAGGTATTTACAGAAGCATTTGAAAGGGTTAAAATATAGCAGTTGGCATACAAGCAACAGGAATTCATTTTAGCTGCAGCATTTTCCTAAAGCAAAATCAAAAACAGAAAAGGAGGAAGAATTAAAATGATGTATGAGCTGCTAGGAATAAAGGTTTTTGTATATACATGAATTCCCACTCTTCCTTCTCCTTGTGTAGACTGTAGTGTCTTTTATGGCAAGAAAAAAGCCCAGTGTGCTAAGTCTGAATTGCTCTAAATATTGTCAACATTTTCCAGACTGTCATATTTCTGAAGGTAGTGAAACAATGTTATGAGGCTTGCAGATAAATGTATAAATTTTGCATATGTGGCACATCTGTTTTGTTCTGCATATGAAACATCTTGCAGCAGTGTGTGCAGAATGACTTTTTTGCCTGCCTTTGTTTTACAGGTTTAAATGGTGTTACAGGTAGCATTTGGGACTTTGTAACTGGGAGTTTCTCTCCTAGTCCATCTCCAGTACTAAGCAGTGGCACTACCCCCTCTATAAATTCAAACACCAGTGGGAATGAACTAACTCGAGTTAGACAGGAACTTGATGATGCCAAGAGAAAACTAAAACAATGGGAAGAATCTTGGCAACAAGTAAAACAGGTATGCTAATTTATGCTGTTTGTTGTTTTGTGGGTTTTTTTTTAACAAGCAAGCAGCTCCTACTGCTTTAAATTTTTACATACCTTCTTATACCTGGACCCAGAGCTTTATTACAGTATGTCAAAGGAATGTTTTTTCCATCCTCAAAATGGGCTAGCATTAGGAAACTGAGCTTTTTAAAGGGGAATTAATTTTCTGAAAATTGATCTGCCTTTCTAGACAGGGATACTTACACATATTCATGATAGGGGTAAACCGCAATGTATCTTGATGTTTAAGTAACTAAAAACACACATTCAGTCCCATACCTCTTTCAGATGATTAGCACGCAGAAAAAAGTAGAATCTTGCCAGCAGCTGTGGTTGTATAGTGTACCTGGACAGTATCTAGCCATCTCAGCAGTCAAACTGAGGTTTCTGGTAACTGCCAGTCTAGTGTATTTTCTGTAGTCCTTTCCTTCCCCTCATGTTGTTCTCTCTGTAATGAGGAGTAGCTAAATAGCTGTACTAAATTTTGTTAGCTTTTGATCCCTCTTGACATTAAATTATGAATTCAACATTTAAAATATGTTCCATTTATAGAGCTCTAAAAAGGCTTCTGGCTGTTTACAGACAAGTAACAATGACATACCTAAAAATTGCATTAAGACAAAAGGAGTTGATAATTAGAAGGTAGGGTAGGTAGGGAGAAGCATTAAATTGACAGTAAAAGCATTGTTATGTCTAAAATTAGAGGTTAAATGCATCTTTGAAGGCTTTTGAATTTGCTCTTCTGTTGTCAACTTAAAAAGTTTATTTTTTATATTCTGGAAATCTCGTTTCTCCCAGGCATGTGATGCATGGCAAAAAGAAGCTCAAGAAGCAAAAGAACGTGCTAATGTCGCAGATGCAGACAAACAACTCGCTTTTCAGAAGAAAGAGGAAGTGGAAAACAAATTAAAAAAGCTGAAGGCACAATTAGCTGCTTGTCTATCTACTACATTACCTTATATGAAAAACTATGGAGATATAGAAAAGATATCCTTGCCAAAGCTTCGTTCCTTACAAAATCAGCTGCATGTAGATCTAGAAACTATAGATGAGGTGAGTTTGTTCATCTGCATAACTATTTTTGATAAACTGCAACTGGCAGCTCAGTAACCTTCAATGACATATTTATGCCAGGTTTCATTTTAAAGAGCAGCATTGCTCTCAGCGTTAAGTCTGTCTTTTCTGGAATAGAGAATGGTCCAGATTTCTCAACCTAATGGATTCTTCTAAGTTTTTGATCAGTTATCAGAACGAATTACAAGTGATTTACAAGAATTCTTGGGATGATTAAAACAATATTTAAAACTAGCTTTTACCCCCAACATTTTGGGCACTATCTAAATAAATTAAAAAAGTTGCCCTAAATAAATTAAATAGTTACATGCTTTTCACTTGTTTAGAAGGTAGGTGGTTCCCTGCTAGGAGTTTGTGTAGTCAGAGAGCCCAGTACAGACTTGGAGCATAGAATCATTGACATTAGAAAAGACCTCTGGAAATCATCCAGTTCAACCCCCTGCTCAAAGCAGGGTCAGCTCGAGGAGGTTGCTCAGGGCCTTGCCAGGTAGTGTTTTGAGTATCTCCAAGGATGGAGAGTCCACTATCTCTGTGGGCAACCTTTTCCAGTGTTTGACCGTGATCACAGTAAGAAAAGGTTTTTTGTGTGTCTGTGTGGGATTTTCTGTTATTTTGTGCCCATTGCCTCTTCTTTCACTGGATACCACCTAGAAGGTTTTGTCCCTATCTGTTTTACTCCCTCCCGTCGGGTATTTATACACATGAGTAAGATGCCATCTCTTCTCAAGGTTAAACAGTCACAGCTCTTTCAGCCTTTCCTTGTATGTCAAGATGCTTCAGTCCCTTGATCACCTTTGTGGCATATTGATGTATTTCACCTTCTCTAAAATCCAGACTCGGTTTCTGCCAAAATTTAGGATGCTCTTTCACTGCTGGATTGAGAGCATTTCTCAGCGCTCTCAAAGCTGGGAATATCAGGTGCCACTCCTCTGAGCACATCAAGGAAGGTAGTAATGACCATACACTGCTCCAGGCACCATACTTCAAACGTTGCTGGGCACAACTTGGTTTCACATTGCTTTCTCCCCTGCAGTCTCAAAGGGCAGTGACCACATATGACACCAATTCTTGCTATTTTGTTTTGACTGCAACAGGACTGTGCAGACAAAAAAACCCAATTTCCCTTCACTACTGGGACAGTCTGCCATACTCTAGTACCAGTTTGAGTCCAGTAATGTCTTCTATGTCTCAGTGCACCTTCTGTCCAGTGCCATCTGTATCAGTGTGAACTACAGCCTTGGAAAAATAAAACGGGCTCTCTTCAGAAGAATTTTAAACATAATTTAAGTCTTTATTAATAAAGTAGGTGGGTGAAGATGAGACTTGCTAGTTACCAGCCCCCTGTTATCAAATACATTTACAGGATTCTGGATTGGATTTGGGATTGGTATTGTTTTTCTCCTAAGGGATTTTAAAGAGAAGCAAAAGACTCGTGGGATCTCTTACCAAAAAGTTACTACATGGTGAAATGGAAGTAATTTTGGCCAGGCTGGAGTGATCAGAACCGTTACCACCTTTTCCTGCTCCTCAGCTTCTCAGGTTTCCTTTACCACTGTGACCTCTTCTCACCTAGCTCTTCCTTCCAGGAGAAGGTTTGCTGTCTTAGGCAGCACCAATGTTACGACCTGCTCAGACAAGGGAGAAGTGACTTAGGTTTGTAAATCCCCAACGGAGCGGACAACGGTGACACAAGTCGCAAAGGCCAGACATTATATTAACTTCCCACAGTGTACTAGTTGGGTACACGGTAATTGACTAAGTGTATAATGAGTTGTGGCAAGCAATACAGTATGCCTTGCATTACTTAATGGTAGTGAAGGAAGAGGGGAAAAAGGAAAGGAGGGAGATAGAGAGAATAGAGACATAGAGATCACTGGTTGGTTCCTGCATCTATCCCGCCAAGAGGGTTCCAGGAGACAGCCGTCTTCTTCGCATCACTGCACTCTCTGACCACCCCCCTCCTTGTCCCCCCCTCAATTTATACCCACTTTCCTTGAGTCCATCCCCTAGGTTGAGCCACATACCTACATATCCCACGTGTGGGGAGGGGTGTTTCGTGGGGTGATGTAATTAGCATGATCTTGTTACTCTTTGTTAGCATATTCAGGGGTGTTAACTTTAATATGCATTTTGTGGGTAATGAAGCTGGACATACGGCCCTTGAAACTTGACCAGGTGCACCAGAGCAGAACTGTCCTGTCTCCTCATAACTCCCCCCTCAAGCTGCATCCTGTGTTATTTGGGCAGCTTTATCAATTTCGACCATCACACCATCCACCCTGGAACTGTGGTTTCATTCCTTGCAAGTGTTTGAGACATTCCTTAGCTCAGAGGGCCTCCATTCCCTCCAGCATCCTTTATCTCTTTCTCGGGCTGTTTTTCTCAGTCTTTGTTTCTCGCAGGCCAGTTTCTTTCAGGACCTGTTTTTACAAGTCACCTCTCACAGCCACACATAGCGTTCTGGCTTCATCTCTTAGTCTGAACCATATCTTGCTCTTCAAAAATTAGCACAGCTTTTAGATGCTTTTTAATTCTTGTTCCTTAATAGGGTTGATAACGGCTTATCACACGGAGACATGTATTTGCCATCTTAACCTCCTCCCTGAAGTCTCTATCAGTCGCTTTATTCAAAGTACTGCACATTTGGTATGCTTCCATTTTGTCCTAATGTGAACATCTCCCATGGCATAAACGGCAAAATGAAGGAGTATATAACAATGAAAAAGGCTTGTTTCCTCTTTTGTTTTGTTTTTGCTTGTTTGCATCACTCATCCCAATTATGCAGGAAAATTCCAGTCCAGAGGTTCAATCCTAGGTATTTTTCTTTCTAAAGCTGCTACTTTAAAGGTTGCATGTGCTCTGATCTTATGACCCCCCCATTCAGCTATTTGTCATAGAAAAACATTGTCCTTTTTGCTGTTAAATTAGAAGTTTATTTGGGACAGCTAAGGGTAAAGCTGCTAGAATGCAACTTTATACTTTGGAATCATTCTCACTGAGTGCAATAATCTCTTCACAGGTGATTTTTCAGCTTCAGTCAAAGAAGTGTATCATATGTCAGGAAAGTGATCGTAGCATTATCCTGAATCCATGTCAACATTATGTACTTTGTGATGGTTGTGCAGCTGCCCAAGAAGAATGTCCCTGCTGCAAGAAAAAAAAAAATCTGTGGTAACATAGAGGCATAGTACTCATATCATATTCATGAATAAATAATTTTATGTCTTTGTATTTTGTATAAGAATTATATCACTTATAATTAATCCATTTAATAGTGCTAGACTGATTTCCATTCTGATGTGAGAAACTTAGTCCCTTTAAGAAAGAAAATAAGGCTTGCTCACCTTTACATACTGGCTTTGGTCACTTGATGAGGTTCTGTAGTCTTGAGGTTCTCTAATTCCACACACACACCCCCATCCCATCCCATCCTTTTCTGATTTCCATTTACATTCCTAGTGTGCAAGCTACTTAGGTTCATTTGCACTGTAATCACTTTGTATAAATCTTCACATAATGCCTGAATGAATAGTTTATATTTTTTATTAACAGAAGGTGGGTACATAGATACAGTAACTACACACTCAACAGTACAAATGGCTCCTTTGCCACATCTGTTGTGTGCAGAACACCAGAGCCAGTGTTTTGAAATCGGTCTAACACTATGTTTACTTGGATGTTTGAAAAACTCTAATTAATATAAAAGCACTTTTTAATTATTGTGTTTTGTTAGAAGATAACTTGTAAATGGCTTCAAGCTGCTTTCTAGGACTTATGTTTATTTTTTAATATGCAATAATATGATGTGTAATATGTGTACTGTGAATTTAAAATACTTCACATGGGTTTACTGTTAAATCACAGTATGATTAAATAGAAATGACAACTTAACTAGTTTTTTTACAATTTGTAAGTTAACTGCATACTGTAGGATTTATAAATGTACCAGTGGAGACAAAAACAGTGAGGCACGTAAGCTTTCATATTCAACAATATGCTTTCAATTTTGTGAAACAGATCAGTTTTAGTAAACAACTGTGCATTTGCCTATTTCCCTCAGTTTGAAGGTTTGTAGTCTTGAAGTTTTTGTACATCTCCTAACCTGTGTGGTACTCATCAGGAGCAGACATGATACATTTAATACTACTAAGTGCCTATGCCCAATATCCTATAAAATGGCAGAAGACATAAAAAATGAACTTTGCAAATAATTTCTATTGCTTAATTTTGTATTGAACAATTTGACAGTAACTAGAATATGCCTCTTGCTTTTATAAATATTAAAAAATACACTTTTTGCAGTAATGAAGTAATGCGTGTTTGAAAGGAATTTCATATTTAGGTACATAATCAGGCAGTGGCACTTTGACACAGTGATTCTTTTAAAAGGTGGTCATACCCTTACTTCATCCTGGTAGCTGGGAACACGCAATTCAGAAGGAGAAGTTATTATTGCTGCATGTTAACACTGTATATTTTTATTTTTCTTACATGGAATAATTGCCTGCATTACTACTTTTTCTGTTAAATTCAGGTGTGACACTAGTACAACCTAGATTGAAATGACCTACTACTGTGTTACATGATTTATATCTCCGTATTACTGTATTTGGTACAAAAAGTGAGTTCACACAAGCAGCAAAGAGTTAATCTATTTAAAGTTCAGTCATGCTAAAACAAAAAACGAGATAGATACTAAAATCATTTATTGTCGAAACAGAGCTTTTAGAACTGTGTCAGCATATTAAATAAAGAGCCCAAGCCAATAGTACTAAAATCACTATCTCCTTTTTAGTGTTCCTTGTAGAAAGGCTTGAGTTAGCAAAAAGTCATTACACATTTCCTGTGAGAACTAAATGTACAGACATGTTGTTGCTTTCCTAAGACACATTGATCTGCAGGAACGTGGAGACCTTTTGGGAAGGGAGAAATAGGATAAGATATTAAATACATTTCTACTTGTTTCAAAATTTTGTCTGAAGATCACTTTAAAGACAAAAGCTGGGTTTAATAATGTGATTTTCTTGACTTTAACACAGTTTCTCGAAAATGTACTGAGAAAAGTATAAAATTGGATTGTAATTGCATTTTCAATCACGCTTTTCTGTCCTAAGATATTGCTGTTTTAAAAGTGTAGCCAGCTTTAGACTTTAAAAAAAAAGTAACTTGGATCACCAAGTTTGTCTGTAGGTATTAAGTGTATTTTTTACATCTGTGCAGTCTATGATAAAGACTGATTTTTGAACCTTAACAACATTTTAGACTAAAACAAACTTAGTTATGTAAGGGTTGGGTTTTTTTACCAGTGAGCAAATCCAAGAATGTATAATTATAGGTTGAAATTATATTACATATTTTTCAAACAAGCAGTTATTTTGGGCACCAGTTTACTGTATTTACCTAGTGTGGAACAGCATTCTGCAACCATTGTTCTCACAAAAACATTTAGAAGTATCTTAGTGAAAATTTTTGCTTTGGTATTTTAGAATAAACCAGTTTAGGCCACATTGTGCTGCTCATATGCAGCTATGTGACATTTGTTACCCACAAGATATGGAAGCATGGTTTTTGTGCTGTCTCGTCAAAGTTTATAGTTCTTCATGTGTATTCTAGTGCATCTGACTATGTCCTAGGGCTATTTTTTGGTACCCCTTTTGGTAGTAACAGGCGATTTTCCTAATCTTGTGACACCAACAAAGGAATGTAAACAGCAATTGCAGTGTTAATCATCACATTGACGTTCATAGTTTGTATGTGCTGCATTTTAGAGGAAATGAACTAATACGTTTAGTCTGTTGCTTTTTGAAGCTATATGTTCTGTGTTTTACAATGATGAATCTTGAAAATAATGATGTGTGTTCTATAGTAGTATCAGTACTGAAAATTTTGCAGGTGTTCCCTGTAAGTTTCTTTGGTGCTGAGTTACAGACACATTTAAAAACTATCAGCAAGCAATGTGGAGAAGAAACATACCACAGAAACGTACCTATGTGTGAAATTTTCAGACTGGGCAGCTTGCTATAACTATAGACGAATCCTTACGTAATCACTTGAACCATAGCAATCATATGAAAATAATATGGTTGTTCTTCACAAAATTATTTTTGTGAGGAATTACAAGCAAAGTTTCCTCTACCTTACTAAAGCAAGTCAAGTGCAAATACAAATAAATACGTACTTTTTCACCTGTCCTTTAAAATGGAGGATAATAAAATGTATGCAGTTAACTAGAGACAACTATTCAGAAGTCAGAAGTGAAACCTGACCGTTGTAAGCATTTATCCTTGTACTATATACACTATCTAGAAACTGGATACATTAAAGTTATATTTTAGTAAGACTACAGTACAGTAATTTGCTAATTTGCTGAAGTCACAAAACACATAAAAGCAAACTAAATAGATTTTCAAGATTCATTTTGTAACTTGACAAAGTTCTGCATTAATTTATGTAAGACTATAATTTTTAATGTGAATGCCACTACGTTGTCATAGTTACTTTAGCCTGGGAATAATAGATTAAAATTCTGATTTCTCAGGGTTTTTACAGTTAGGAGCTGTAATTTAACCGGAAGTATGCTAATTGCAGATAGATCCCAAGCTGCATGTTATAGGCTTATTATTAGTCTTCTTTGAATAGCAGATTATGAGACATACTTGTTTTGTTCTATATTGCCATTCAGAGTATCCTAGTATTAAATATAGGTAGTGATATTATTACTGTCACACTATGCTTGTGTAACTGTGGTCATCATCAGACCCTAAATAAATATGGAATTTTTACTCATATTAATTTATGGAATCTGTTAATGTTTTGAGTGTACAGACAGAAATGATTTTGTGAATGAAATTGTTCTTAATCAAAACATATTATTTATAATGCATACTCATTTACTTGTAGTGAACTGTTTAAAACTGTTAACACTTGTTAAAACTTTTCTACACTATAGCGTTTATGCAATGGTTTACAGAAGTCATTGAATTATTTTTATTACCAACATGGAAATAAAATTTTGATCTTTATTTCTGAGCTATACTGTGTTTAGAGACTCAAAAATATACAGGTATGTTTTCCTCTGCAATCTAATTATGGCATTCCTAATCATTTCAGGGTTGAAACCACTGGGATCAGCATTTACAGTTTCAGTGGAGAAGGACATCTAACCATGATACAAAGAAACTGATTCAGCACAATGGTCTGCAAGACAGAGGCTGTGAGAGTAATTAAAACATAATCACTTTTCCATTCTTCTCTGTACCACGTCCTAAGAACATCCATCCTATTGGGCTGGAGCTGTCATCGTAAGTCTATACCAGTATTCTGTCCCTAACAGTGGTGACAGGAGACGCTGCTGAGGAGGAGCACCTAAGTCTGGGCTCTAGCTTCAGTCTGTGCTTTTCATACCCTCCAGTGTTAGAGATGTCAGAAACTGCAGTCTGTTTAGGCTCAACTTAGACAAGATGGTAGCGTTGTACCTTTCCAACTCAAAACTTTGTCCTTTGTAAGATGCAGAGTGTGACAGCATACAGTACCGAGGATGTGGATTCACCAAGGGTTTTCCTGTGCTGTTGTCCATACCCTTCCTGGCAGTGCCTATGACTTTTTCAGACTTTTTTTCCCCCAGCAGCCTATGCACATCCAGCAGGGCACATTGTCAGTTACTAAGAAGTCTTGGCTTACATGCTGTCCTTCCATGAGAAATTCAGTAATGAAGGTGGGAACAGCCCCAGCAAGGAGGGAGGGAGACAGACACACACACACCACACAGAGTCTCGCATGATGACTTATTCCCAAGGAGACTGGTGATGAAGCTGCAGGGACACACAACCCTTGTGTGCCCCAGTTCCCTTCCCGCACACCTCAAAGCTTTGCACTTCTGCGCTGCTGCCGCCCGTCGACCAAACGTCGTTACTGCAGCTCCGGCGCCCCCGCGCTGCCGCCTGCCGGTC